TTTTCTATCAAGTTTAAAAGTAAATTAGTTTTCAAAACTCTATGAACAACTCATATTCTATTTGTACTTTTTCGTATTTGTATCGATGTCTAAGTTTCGAACTTTGCAAATTTCAGTTTTTTAATATGTTAGTTAAAAGGAACGGAAATGACTGTCTTTGGTCCATTCGTTTCCTGCAAAAATCAACTTTTGCTAGAGTCGCCATCTAGTGGAGGTGCTTTTTTAGTGCTTTCGTTTTTTTTAAATACTTCCTCATTGTTTAATATCAAAATACTGTTTGATTAAAGCCACGCTCTAATTATAAATTATAGTTAACGCCAATTACTATGTGTTTACGTAAAGGTTATATTAATATCGCTTATCTCTCTCCACGTAGCCCGTCACAAAACAAACGGTGACATCACCGTGAGTCACGTCTTTATATTTAAAAAAACGTTTCCCTGTAATTGTGAATGTCCTTATGACGTCATTGTGAACCTATCCAATTATATGAGTGTTAGATGCAACATTTTAAGTAATACACAAGCAAAAGTATATTTTCAACTTGATACCAAGAAAATGGTATAGTAAAAAAGTCCAATATATACTTAATAATATTATAAAATACTGATCGGATCAAGAAAATTGTTTCACCTACGGGAAGCTACATTTTACACGGGGTAAGTCGCGGGAAACAGCTTATAATAAACTTACTATTATTTACTATGCTAATGTGTCTCGAGGCTTCAATTCTGCTAATAATAATTGACCCCCCAAGAAATAAGAAGGGCGTTATTATATTAAACCAATTTTACTTTTACAATGTTATACTGTAAAATTTTCTCAATGAAAAATGCTTTCAAAAATTTTATGTGTGTGTGTGTGTTTGTGTGGTTTAATCGAGAGATAGCTATGCTTTATGAGCATCTTGAAAGTCATCGGCTCTTTTCCGAGATGATGTATTATCTCTTTTTTTATCTATCAAAAGAAACTAATGTAGAGGTAATCATACGCGTAAAGGTAGTTTTAGTAGAACTGGAAACTTGATGCGTATAGCAAATCAAATAACACGATAATAATATGATGATCTTGACCTGATGCTACAGCCAGCAGGGATAATCTGTAGAGTACCTAACTCCTCGAAAACTAACAGCAGATAAATATCGTGCTTGGGCTCATTCGAAAGAGTTCATGAGCTACATGGTTATTTCAAAAAACCAGAGGATCACTTCTGGGTAAATGTATTGCTATGTTCAATAAAGTTCCACAAAATGTAATTGACCTACCCATAAATAAATTTCAAATTCATGTAAAGAATATACTTATGAGTAAAGGCTATTATAAAGTTGATGATTATTTTAAGGATCGCAATGCATGGAATTAATAGCCTTCACTCTGTTCTATAACGATTAATTATAGGTATGTACCAACCTATGTCCTACAGACTTTGAAACTTGTATTTATTATTGTCCAATATATGTATTATTTTGGTATAATGACATGACTTATGTAAATGTCATTACTTATGATAAAAAGCTGGTAAGTTTCTTTCGCTTGTTCTTCTTGTCAGCTAAAAGACGTCCTGAACAAGTGGTAGGGGATAAAATATTTTTGGACGATTCAAAAGTGCTTGTAACGAGCTTACTTGAATAAAAACATTTTCATTTCATTTCACATGCACTTTATTAAGACGAAATGGCAACTTTATTAATTATCTGTACTGTAAAAAATGAATGAAATATTTTAAAAAATTAATTTATTTCATTCTTAAAAATATAAAAGTTGGCCTGGAACACGATCGATTACTTTTATTTAAACATTAGTCAAGTTATCACTTCCATTAGAGTTGTGTTTCGATAAATAATGCTTTTATTGTTTGGTAATTTTAGTTGATATCGACCGGTAACGGAAGCGGCGCGATAAAACCAGAACTATACACAAATGCTGAGATATTTTATAATTAACAATATTATTCATAAGAGGGACTTGATGTTTTGTAATGTTAGCAACTTCCACAAAGGTCAGCGAGCGGATGGGTGACCGAATATTTTATATATTGCCTTAAATGTCATTAGATTGCATGGTTTTTAGACGATTATATAACATCGAAGGTCTGGCTGTAACACCGATTCTTATTTTTCTGTTTCAAAAATTAAAGAATGATGGATGATACCTGCATGATCAGGTTTCCGGAGATTACTTTCTAGAATCAAAGTTACAAAATTTCCTTCTTTGTAATATTACAAAGAAATAGCAACACGAAGCTTGCGTTGTTAGCTAATTTTATTTATATAAGGAAACTAGTGGTTTTTCCGTGAATTTGCATGCGTAAATTATAGCCTATTTTAACCCCGTATGATGTACTTACCCAAAGGTGAAAGAATATTTAAATAGGTCCACTAGTTTCGGAGCCTATTCGATGTAAACAAACAAACAAGTAAATCTTTGCTATTTATAATATTAAGTATAGATATACGTTTTGTATCCAAGATTTCCAACAACAGTTATAACGTAAAGTACAGAAGAATGCTCTAGCCCGTAGTTTGGACCACACCTCGCGGATTAGATGGATCCTCAGACGACGGACGGAGCACGTACTGCGCTCGATTTAAGTGCCATTTTCGATTGGCTTATGTCTATCGCGGGCACGTCCACAAGGTCGCATAGATAATTCGGTTTGTGTGAAAATATAATATGGAATGTTTGATTCGTTCGTAGGTATATTTTTAAAATACCAACACTTCGTTTTGGAGACGTCTTAATGGCGTAGGTATGTATAATCGGCAAATTTTATTCCTGTGCCAATAGAATGTCGCCTTCGTTTATACTTATAAAAAAAGTACATAGACCTAAGTGTAATCGCTCTATTATACCGTTCGATAACAGTCGCGTGCGGGGTTCGGCTGTGGTTCTCTTTCATTGGTCGGTCATTTTTTTTTTAACTTTATTGGACCAACAAACAGTTTCACAATGAAATTACTTGTTTTATAATTAACTAGCTTTTGCCCGCGACTTCGTCCGCGTGATATAGTTACTTTGGACAACATATATTTTCCAAGAACGCTGTTGTTTTTTGAGCTGATGATGAAATTACCTTGATGTTTAAGTTCGATGATAGTACAACAAAATACCAACGAATGTCCAATATGTTTCAGCACTTTATCTTTGAAACTTTAGATATATTAATCCAATTCGATGCAATTTGAAATACAGATGAATAAAAAAAAAAACAGTTCTGAAGTTTACAAAAGATTTACAAAACGTAATCTACGCAAAATTCTTTGAAAGAAACGTTACCGCAGATTACTTTAGAATAAACGCCATCTAGAACAAAGCGCCATCTTTGTTCTACGATCGATAAATATTGAAGAATTTATCTATGAATCTACGTACATCGCCATCTATGAGAACTTCATAAAACTAAACAGTAAATAAACACTTGCTTAAAAAACAATTAATTAGTACATTTTATTCGGTTACATTCACGACATAAGCGAATAATTGAGATGACAACTATCCCATCCAGTAAGTTAAACCAAAATACGGGTACATGTGAAATTTGATTGAAATCGGTTCAGTAGTTTTGGAGTTTACTGGCAACATACATCGTGACACAAAATTTTTATATATATAAGATGAGAGTTACCCGCGGATCCCGTTGATCAGTGTAACTGAGTCATAATATACTGTATAGATACACAATTGATTAGTCTATACAAGATCTCTGATTCAAAACAATATCCAAAAAATCTTGTTAAAACTAATTTTTGAGTTATTGATCGTAAATGAAACTTCTTTTGAATGTATATATTTTTAAAACGAGTTCCAAAACTAAAAGCCGCCTACAGCTAAACCACGCTCTAAAAAGTTTAATACAAGAAAATTATTTTAAAGCTATAGATATATTATAATAGCGATGGCCAAAGGGCAGCGTGGTCGTATGCTACTGATCATAACAAAACAAATTAATAAATGCCAATTTAGCCCTTTGATACCATACACGGAATGATTGAACGATTTATATATTTTTAGTTTGATACTTTATACTATGTAGAGGGCGCTATTGCCAATTTAATGTAACGTCACAGCACGCGGATAATGAAGACGCTTCTAATAATACCTCATTTGTCCAGTTACGATGAGTAGTTTCGAAGTTATAAGGGAACAGATGGACATTTTTAAATTCATACCAGCCAAACTTATAACCCTCCTTTTCGCTACGTAGTCGGGTAATAAAGTAACTTCACATTTGTTCATAGATAATAATAATAATATATATTTTTTTGCGAAAATATGGTAACAAGGTAGTTTTACAATTTTAGACCAGCATATTTTATCGTCAAGACGATGTGCAAATATTAAAGTCAATATACAATAAATTGTCTGATTTTATATGTCAAAAAATTAAATTACATAAAAAATAGCAAATGTCAAAATATCATAGTCATAAGATACAATAGGTTCATATTATAATCAAAGCATTCATATAATAATTAAGAATGAGATTTATCTTGCAAGAATTCATTAATTGAATAATATTTTTTATCCATTAAATATTTAAATAAACAGGGTTTGAATGTAATAACATTATCAATAGTTTTAATATCATTCGGTAATTTATTATAAATGCGTATACTCATACAATATGAGTTCTTCGAATTCACTACGATTCATTGAGTTGGAATACATAAATTTGTACCCTTCCTACCTGTATGTGCAAAATCTTTTTCTTGTTTAAATGAATGGAATTTTTTTTTAATAAATATCCCCATTTACACTGTTTTTAAGTAGAATTTAACATAAAATGAGTGCTATTCGTCAGCTTAATAATACGCAAACTTCATCTTCTATTTATTTCTGTTTATTCATTTATCTTGCAACACCAACAGATACCCGAACATCGTAAATTTCAAATATTGTTTGTATGTTTGTTTGCAGCGGCAGAGGTGTGCAGTGACTGTTATTATGTGTGAAGACGGTTGAGGCGGTCGCCCGCCGCGAAGGCGGGCTTCGGTGCGAACATGTCGTTCTTCAATAATCTTAAAAAGGTCAGTGTTTCATATTTTCATAATCGCATACACATGTTTCCTCTCTAGTCTTAATTTACTCTCTTTACTTTAATATTGTCACGTGTCGATGACGAGATAAAGCTCAGACCGGCGATGCGATTCTGTAAAAAACTAAACTCGAATTCGAATTCACTCAGCTCGCCGAATTCACTTCAAATACCATTATTTGAAGTGAATTCAATCTTGAATGAGGAAGTATTTTAAAAAATAAAATTGGTTTCCGAAATCATACTAGATGTCGCTACGGTACTTTCTTGATTTCTCCATGACAACCCTTCCGGTTTTCCTTCATGTATAAAAGTAAATTAATTTTCAAAACTCAATAATAGAATTCTGTCCATAACATCTATAAAGATTTATAATTTAATGCTTATGATGACATAATTGGTTGGGTTGTTTAAATCTTGTTATGTCTTAGGGCGCTTGTGCACTACACTGAATTTTCATGTCCGGCGGTCCGATTTTTTCAGGTCCGATATGTCAAGCCATATGTAGGTAATGCGCGCTTGTGCACTGTCAGGAATTTTACCGTCCGGAATTTTACCGTCCGGAATTTTACTTTTCTCTATTCCGGACCGGTTTTTTCAGTTCCGTGATGGCGGCAATGAAAAACGTGTTTACGCTTGTGCACTGCTGTGTCCGAGATCCGGAAAATTCATAAGGAATAGGCTTGGGTAAAAATAAACGATTTGAATCGATATTTTTTTCGGCAATATAGTTAATTTCCAATAAACTTATAATCGATATTTATTGTTGATTATAAAATGCTATATTTTATATGATGATTTAATATAGTTGGTAATTATCACTGCATATGCTTTGGCAAACTCGGTAAAGTTCTAATTTGATCAGCGTATGGTTCTAGTATCGATACTTAGCTAGATTTTAGAATCGTATTAAAAGTATCGATAGCTTAAGGTAAGATAAATAAGTGTTGTTACGCTTAGACGCCTAAACAACTGAACCCATCTAAATGGAAATTAATATAGTAAATAGACTTAACTTTAAGAAAGGACATAGGCTACATTTTATCGCGAAAAATAGGGGATGAAAGTTTGCCTGGAAATTTGTTATTATGAAATTTTTTTTAGACAATTGATAAGTATAGATAAATATTTGACAACAGAAGTATAAAGAATAAACAGAAGATTTACAAAAGTAATCAAGTGACACTCAATGTCTTTTTCGTATTTAATACAAAATTTTATGTATGTTTGTGTCATTAATAAATTTAAAAAAAGAAGTATTCTAAGGGAAAAATATTTCTGCTCAAAGAAACTACACCACGCGTATAAAAATTATGCCTATATATAATACAGTCAACTGATCTCGTAAAGTTCATTTAGCATAATAATTCTCCGCTAACACGGCACTAATTTCGATTTGTTTACGAAATGGCGCCACCGATTGGTCTATCTCTGTAATCGCTGAAAGTTGTTTTTACAAAACTTCGAAAAAATAGCACGTTTAAAAATTTAAACATCAAGTACTAGACCATTATCAGTAATTTTATTCTAATGTCACAGATATTTTTAGCTATTGTATGTGAATAATGCTGTTCCTAAATAAGTAAGGGTATAAGTTTTTACATCTGATAGTAGTCATCCGATAGCAGTAAAAAAAATGCTTTCGTCTTGCCATAATTTATTATGGTTTATGTAAAACGATCAGATCATTATTTAGGTACCTTTCTACGTCTTCGAACGGAATTACCGACGTTCCAAAAATCTCATCGTACCTAGCGTAAGTGACGTGTAGCTTCAAAGAGAGCTGCACTACACTGCGCCGCTCCGATCAGGAAAAAAACGGACAAGTGCACAAGCTACTCATCCGAGTTTTTCATGTCATTCCGGACCGGAAAAAATCGGACCGCCGGACCTGAAAATTCAGTGTAGTGCACAAGCGCCCTTAGGCTTACTGTTATTTTTACTATGGGTTACTTTTTGGCCGGATTTATTATAAATGTAATAATATCTTTTGTTTTTTATCTTGGAATGGCTGTTGTTGTCTCGAATAAATAAAAAAAAAAATATAAGACTCATATTCTATTTGTATGTACATATTTGTATTGATATCTAAGTTTCGAACTTTTCATATTTCAATTCTTTAATATGTTAGTTAAAAGGGACGGAAATGACTGCCTTTGGTCTATTCGTTTCCTGCAAAAATCAACTTTTGTTAGAGTCGCCATCTAGTGGAGGTGGTTTTTTAGTGCTTTCGTTTTTTTTTAATACTTCCTCATTCGAATACGGATTTTTACAGAATCGCCCTGAAATGAGAGCGACCGCATAACAATCTCCCTATAACTCTTAGACATAAAAACGTTCTATTGATATACTATCAATGAATACTCTTACACAATGTTCTTGTTCTATTATCTACATATTTAATCAATGCTTTTGGTTAGTCTAGTTAACTGAATTATTGAAGTTAGATTTAATTTACAAAATGTCGGATTTAGACGGATGTTATTTCGAAAAGAAAAATAAACCAAAATATACACAATTAAAAAACATTTAATTTAAAAAGAATAGCTATAGCTAAAGTCAAAGCAAGAGAGTTAGACGATCGCTCTGCTGAGGGCCTACTCATGGTTGTCCACTAACGAAAATTCGACATAGTTCTTACAATTTCTTTAATATGCATCAGAGGGACATCCTATCTCCGCTCCATGGCATCATGAATAGGGATGATGACTGGGTAAAAAAATGCAATTCTATTTAGTCCGTCAGTCTGATAATTGAAAAATATTAGACACGTTTTCTTTTTTTACTTCAATTTAACAAAAAATAGCTTAGATAACAGGCATTAAAGTTGAGGAGTGGGGGCTCGCTACGTCACAGTTGAGTAGAAAACGTACCCTAACGTGACGTCATGCGAAATTTCAACTCCATGTAACAACAAACGGACAAACAAACAAAAATTAGTCATCATCCCTATTATCGCAAAAACGTTTTCGGGGAAACAGTATAGGTTTTCTGTGATTTCGTTAACCGTGTGATTGTTTTACTAACACCAAATGCGTTAAGGCAGAGGTTCGAAACCTTTTTGGCTAGCGACCCAGAATGTAAATATATTTGAAGCCACCGTGAAGTTTTATTTTTATATATCAGCGTTAATAAAATAATACATTGAATAAATATCCGCGGTTTACCCAAATCGATGTCATTATAAAATATATTATTCTGAATCAGGCCGATAATGGCGCTCATAACGTTTTAATATTCTCGCGACCCCAGGTTTAAGAAAAATCGAGTAACTCAAATAGGGATGACGACTAATATTTGTCTGTTTGTCCATCAGGTAGATTGTTGAAAAATATAAACATAATTTTTTTTCGTAATCATTAATTTACGGCGATACATGTATTTTCTACAATACTGTGACGTAGCGAGCCCCCACTCCTCAACTTTAATGCCCGTTAGCTAAGCTATTTCTTGTTAAATTGAAGTTAAAAAATACGTATCTAATATTTTTCTATTATCTGACTGATGGACTAAATAGAATTTCCTTTTTTTTACCCTTTCATTATCCCTATTATGTGAATAATCCCATCTCAGCCATATGTGACTACCGTGCAACTGAAACCTGACTGGTCTCTCAAAATGAAGCTTTAAATGTCTTTAATCAGCAAACTCATCGGAATCCGTAATCGTGAAAGGCGAATGACGTTAATACTAAAAAAGCCTAACTAATTCTGTGTTTTCACACCACTACAATTGGCCTAAATTATGCGAAATCCAAATATTTAAGGTAATCTTATGTGCAGGTGCTCCACCTCGGTGGCGGCAACGATGCGAAGAAGAAGAAGGTGTTTAACAACATACGGGACAACAGCGACCCGGCCGAGAACTGGGAGATGATAGGCGAGCTGGGCGATGGAGCTTTCGGGAAGGTACCCACGTACATAATTATAATTATTTATATATTTAGTGATAAGGCCGCCATTCGTACGTCTCCTGTTTCCGTTATATAAGTGTATTTTGTTTTGCGTGTACAATAAAGAATATTCTATCTACCTATCTGTTTTACCATTAACGATCAATTGTTTCTGCCTATCCCCTCTGACGGGTTAGACGAGTGCAGATCGGTTTTATAAAACACAGTATTTTATTTAAAACAAAAAAAAGTTGTTTTGGTATTCGTATTCTATAAATTGAAAGACGGTTTCTAAATGTGGTAATGAATGTTGTTGGGCGCAGTTCTAAGTTAACTTACTATTCTTTGAAATAAAATGTCAAGGAATACGTACATCGAACAAATAACATTCCTTTGAAATTAAATGTATTGTTGATGAGTTCGTGAAATAAAATAAAAAATGATTTTGAAATTCATTGATTATGTGAAATACGTTACATTCGAGTAAATAGTCATTGAAACAATAATGCATTAATTAAATATTATGACACATTTTCTACAAAACTAAATTCTAAAAGATTTCTGTCTGTGAGACAAGGGAATGCCTCTTGACTGTTTTGCCATCAGAATAACTTTGAAGGCTTTTATATATCGGAAATGTGTCGTTCTCAAATATTTAATTTATCAATAAAAAATAATAAGTGTTGTTAAATACATCCCTTTTATATTTCAAACAGGTGTACAAGGCTCAACACAAGACGACCGGCCAACTGGCGGCGGCGAAGATGTGCGTGCTCGACAACGAGGACGACCTCGCCGACTTCACCGTGGAGATAGACATACTGTCCGAGTGCCGCCACCCTAACGTTGTGGAATTACACGAGGCCTACTTCATAGATAACAAGCTATGGGTGAGACTTTTATTGACTATTACATCCATTTATTACTCAAGACGACTACAGTCCCGGTCCTACGATTATCTGGGCATACTTTTAAATTATTTTTCTTTTATTTAATTTAGCGACTTTTGAACACATTTTTGTGAAGCTCCATTTATTATATTTTGATTATTTTGTCGCCTTCTTGTCATTGGCGTCCAGAGTAAATGGCCCTATTCACGCGACATGCAGTAGAAAAGAACTTTTTTAATTCTTACGATCACAATTACCTGGAGAATTAAGTTATGCTCTACTTATATCAAAATATATATGTATATATATAAAACAAAACCTAATAAACTTTTTTATTCCATTATTTATTCGAAATAATGATTAAAGCTGCAAAATTAGATTCAATATGTAAACAATTCGACTCTTATTAGGATACATTACGGTAACGAGCGATTATATTATCCTTATCTATCGTACGCAATAGTCCGTTAGTCGACGACGACAGTCATTGCGTGATTAATGGAATTCATTGATAGCGTTGTCAGTATCAGACCGATCATCGAGAAGGTGATAAAAAGGATTTGGGTTATCTAAAACGGAGGACTCAGCTTCAGGCTGCGTCTTACAGTCATAAACATCCACCAATCCGCACTGAGCATGCATGGTAGTTATTATGCTTTATCCCTTTGCCATTTTATGAACATGGAAGTACAGGAGAGCTGTCAGTGCAAAAATCACAAACGTTAGGTGCGCTAGTCGCCACATAACAAAACTGACGGCATTGATTGACAAGAAGACATAGTTTTGTTATAAATACGATTGATTTGTCTTGGTCTAATGCAAATAATGACGATAGTATATTAAGTAACTTTAATTAAATATATAACTTATTTAAAAAATGTTTCCAACCCCTGAAATTTAGTTTACATTGTTTATCTCTTATTCTAAGTATATTGTTATTTGTTAGGCGAGAATCGAGTTCAACTGTCAAATTAGCGATATTCGTTAGTTTCCTAGCCATTGAGCCTGAAAGCTCGGTCATTGAACCCTACGATCGCTACTTAACGATCGAAAACTGTTGAGTCTGCAGCTGAGAGAGTTATAGGGGAAAAAATGGACGATTCATAAGTGCTCTTAAGAAGCATATTTGAATAGTATTATTTAATTTTCATATATGTATGTGTAGATGTTACTGGAGTACTGCGACGGTGGCGCCCTCGATTCTGTGATGTCAGAACTGGAGAAGGGCCTGAACGAGGCGCAGATAGCGTACGTGTGCAGGGAGATGTGTAAGGGGCTGCAGTTCCTGCACTCGAGGCGCGTCATACACAGGGACCTGAAGGCCGGCAACGTGCTCGCTACCATGACGGGAGGAGTCAAACTAGGTGAGCACTCATTCATATATATAACCTAATCATTCCCCGAATATCGGATGCAATTCTCGTGAAATTTTGAATTTGTTCAATTTCAAAGTTCAAAATAAAATAAAAAAACAAAGTGTTTATTCTTTTTGTTTTTTTTTTTAATAATTTTAATCGGTATAATCTTTGTCGATTGTATATATACATGGATATTGGTTAAGTACACGGAAGTGTTACATTTAGCTGCCTCTAATGAGCACTAGATGACGCTACTGTTGTTTTAAAACGGAAACTTTGATTTTTGTAAGGTTTGTTTGTAGTCTTTATTATTTTTCCAATTTTTATCGAATAAAGTAGCTTTCGTTTTTAATTTTGCGGTGTTCCTAATTTAATGAAGAATCGTTAATGAAATACTACATTTAGCTGTTTTCGCTAGATGACGCTACTGTGTTTTTAAAACTATTGTGTTCGTTTGTTTGACTTAGTAACAACTGTAATTAACAAAAAATGTATTTGTAATTTTAATACAAGATTCCCTAAAAATCTACTTAACTAATTTTGATAACATTTGGTGGTATATGGGTGATTCTATGCCTAAATTAACATATACGCCACTTATTATCCCACTAAATGGTTCCCTAGGAATAAAAGTAAAATACCACCATGCTGACGGAGAGCTAGTAGAACAATAACAACAGTAGCGTCATCTAGTGCCCATTAGAGGCAGCTAAATGTAACACTTTAGTGTACTTAACCATTCCATGTAATATTAGCGATAAAAATTCTACCAATCAAGATTATTCAAAACATTATTTAATCCTACGTAAACAGCTTAAATCATTTAATCATGGACTTGGAAAAGTATGACATAGAATAAAATTTCAATGACAAATTGAATTATAAACAGTCGCTCGGTCCAGTAGCTCGGTGGCGTAGTGGATAAGCGCCGCGGCCCGCGATCGTAGTTGTTAAGCAACTTTCGCAAGGGTCGGTCACGGGATGGGTGACCAAAAAATTATTGTCTCGAGCTACTTCGTGCTTCGGAAGGCACGTTAAGCCGTTGGTCCCGGCTGCATTTGCAGTCGTTAATATCCTCCAATCCGCATTGGGCTAGTATGGCCCATCCTCCTTAACCATCCATAAGGATGGCCTGAGCCCCTGCAGTGGGGACGTAAAAGGGCTGGTGGTGGTGTGATATATTTTTTCCGATGTGTAATTGACTACACGGTCGAGTTTATGTTATTTTTATTAAAAAAATTCATGCAAAAGAAAAATTTGTACTTTCAAATGATCCCAAATAAAGCAACTGTTAGCATACTGCTAATTGAGAATGTAAATGTGAAGAAGACAAAACAATACATATTATTATTTGCTGTTGTAAGGATCTATGCAGTTCCCTTAGGAACCTTGAAGATCTGTTGTGGCTCGCCGCCAGGGCTGTAGTGACTTCTTTAGCCCGGTAGACTTCAAAAAGTCTACAATATTCCTGGCTTTTAAAGATTTTATATCTTCTGGGCTGATTATATGTCGACCCAGATGTATTCTTCGTTAGTGGACCAGTGGTCCACATTCACATGGGAGATGTTTTGGTGTTGCACGTTCCCGTTTGCAATATCTGCAAATGTCAGTGTCACTTAGTTTCATGTTAAATGGGTGTCTGTTTAATTTGTACTTATATTTGCACTGTTTAGCTTCAAGAGCAAACAATACATAACAAGTCCAATCTGGATCCTGCCTCGGCAGATTTCAAGTTATATGTTTATTCGCTTCAAAGAAACTGCATTCGAAAGCGAAAACTAAAGAGCTTTAGAGTATTGAAAAGAACTAAACGCGACCATTCGTTCTTTGCATGAAATATTTTAATTTAATCTAGCAATAATAATTAAAGTCGACATTAGTTAAAGAATACTTGAGTCCGTGCACCATCATAAATATAACGCTTATTTATAATTTAAAGCTCAGAGGCGACACTTTGAAATCGGCGGGCAAACGACTCCGTTACGAAAGTCGTTTATCAATTGAAACATAAAATGGAAACTTGGAATGAGGTTGCATATTTTTTTTAAATCATAACAGCTTTTTTTTATACAGAAATAAGATAATTTGATTTTATTTTTACATTATTTTTAATTACTAAAAAATTTAAAACAAAACAATTACTCATTTGACCGTCAAAGTTGAATTTATTATTATTATTATTATTACTTAACAAATCATGAATGAAGAAACAGCATTGAGATTGTAATCAATCACTAACATTATATTACGTGCAGTGATAAATAAATTTTTGATCTTTCGCGTTGCATTATATTAAATTGTATAAGACGGGTATTGACGCAATAGATTTTGATAGTTAGGTTTTTCAACTACCTATATTTCCCGCGCGACGTTTCGGCCGGGTTACACCGGCCGTGGTCAGCCCGTGACCAACTATCAAAATCTATCGCGTCAATACCCGTCTTATACATACAATCTAATAAAGTGATAACTAATTACTAATCTGTGCATTCATCAACAATATCATCAGCAATTTTGCGTCCCCACTGAAGGGGCTCAGGCCTTATGGATGGTTAAGGAAGATGGGCCGTAACCCTCCACGCTGGCCCAATGCGAATTGGAGGGTATTAACGACTGTAAATGCAGCCGGGACCAACAGCTTAACGTGCCTTCCGAAGCACGGAGTAGCTCGAGATAATAATTTTTTGGTCACCCATCCCGTGACCGACCCTTGCGAAAGTTGCTTAACCACAACGATCGCGGGCCGCGGCGCTTATCCACTACGCCACCGAGCTACTGTGCAATACGCTGAGTGATAAAATTGTGCGAAATGTCTGATCTGAAGACATATCATATCTAGACGTTTACCTGATTATGATTTGGACTCTAATTAACAATTTACTGTTGTTTTTATTGCGATAACAAAACGTGAAATAATACGTAAACCTCTCAAACGCGTCTACTGATTATAATATTATAATTTATGATGATAGAATAGCTCGCGCACCGGTTGAAAGGTGTCGTCATGTCTCAGGTCATTGGTTCGGTTCCCAGTAGGGTCATTGTAGAAAATGAACTTACTCTATGTTAGTCTCGAGTCTTGGTGTTGTTTTACCTTCGTTGTGACAGATTTCCATAATACACGTGCTTTAGATACTTAATGTAAGGTTTTCTTAATATTTATTTATTCGATTGATATTATTTTTTGTATTAATATTATTTTTGTTTAAAAACCATATAGGTATATAAGCGCAGCGTCATGTATGTAATTATATAATTAGCTAATATATTATACAGCAACCAAACAATATATACACCAAATAATAATATCAGGCTGACACTCGCGTCTGATCACGCCGGTTGTCAAGGCCGCTCTGAAATTGCTACGCGCAGACGCTGCGCATTTGTACAATCGGGCGCAAAATATGTACACAAGTTTTAATATATCATTACATTAAAAGCTTAGTGATTTGAAATTTAAATAAACACAGTCATTATTAATATACGTAAATTAATTAATTTAGAAGAATATTGTCCTTTACATTTCGTCATTGGAAAATAAGTTTGATAACTACGAATGGTTTAGACTAAATAAAGCCTGGTAAACAATTGTATGTATGTATTTACTGAATTCTTTACTTTCAGCATTCCGATTCTTTTTTTAGAAACAATTAAAAATAAATACACCTTAGGACTCCTGCCATTCTTTGCTTAATGTGTATGACATGATTACTCATTTGTAATCATCTTTAATATTTAACGTTCTTATCGAAGCAACAAAAACAACAATAAAATGATATGGCAAATAAAAATAATAAACGCCGTTACGCACTCGAATGTACGTCGATCGTAACGTAGCGTCGCGGTAGGGGAGACGGGCGTTGCCCCCACCAATCCGGCCCCCGACTAATCCGGCGCCTTTTGTAGTCCGACGTCCCTTGTTATCCGACACGCAGGTACATTTTGCTCGATTCTCGCCAAGTTAAAACTTGAATGTGATCGCCAATGTGACGTACATATAAATATTTTTGTAATTGTAATAAAAAGTTTCGCGATGGCTTTCCAAAAGCGAAAGCACAAAACTTTAACAATCAACGAGAAACGCGAGATCCTGGACCGCGTGAATAGCAACATATCGCTCAGTAGCTTGGCTAGTGAATATGGTGTTGGGCGATCCACAATTTACGATATCAGAAAGAATCGTGATAATATTCAAGAGTTCGTGGCGTCTACTGACAGCGGCTCAAGCGAGAGGAGGACACTTAGGAAAGCTAAACACCCAGACGTCGAAAAAGCTTTGTACAAGTGGTATATTCAGGAAAAAAACAGGAATAATCATGTTTCTGGTTCAGCATTGATTAAGAAAGCGAAATTTTTGTACAAGAAAATAAAGAAAAAGGATGACTTTGTAGCTAGCAAGGGATGGTTGGAAAGATTCAAAAGTCGTCATGGTATACGTTTGATGTCAGCAGTCGGGGAAAGAGATTGTAATAAAAATATAATAGCTTGCGCTGAATCATTCAAATTTAAGTTTATAAAGAAAGTTAAAGATTTAGAACTTTGCCCTTCGCAAGTATACAATGCACACGAATCGGCGCTATTGTGGCGTATTATACCTGGCGAGACCATTGTTTCAGATAATGAGAAATCTGTATCTGAACGTAAGCTAAACAAACAACGTGTAACTATATTTCCTTCCGCTAATGCATCGGGCACGCACAGGTTAAAAATGGCGGTCATCGGAGAATTGGATAATCCGCATGAATTCAAAGATATTAATTTACCGGTACATTACTTTGGACAAAAAAGTGTGTGTATGACAAAAGACATTTTCAAAAAGTGGTTTCATGAATGCTTCGTGCCAGAAGTTAGGAGATGGTTGGTAGATCATAATCTGCCTACAAAGGCTTTGCTGCTTCTTAACACGGTTGCCGATCATTCTTCTGAAGAAGAATTAACGACTGAAGATAAATGTATCACCGCCATGTTTATTCCGTCAAATTGTACTGCATTGAGTCATCCAATCGAACGGAATATCAGTCAGCTTGTCAAACGAGACTACAAAAAGAAACTTCTTCTGACTGCCATATCAAAAGATCAACCTAAAGAGGAGACTTTAAAAGAATTGAACATGAAGGATATGGTTTTCTCCCTTTGTCAATCTTGGAATGAATTGCCATCTTTGGCAATTGCTTCGGCTTGGGAAAACTTGTGGCCTGAAATTATCAGCATGCCTTATACCGTTAAACAAAATGATATTGCGCCGGTATCTATAAAACAAATTGCTATAGAAATACAGATTCGTCCGCAATGTTTAGAAATGTGGTATCTTGGAACGGACGAAGAGGAAAATGTATTCGATCACCCGTCTGATGATGAGTTAATTGTCGACAGACACACTGTTTCATATAAAGGTGAAGATGACAATGAAGTGATCGCGAGTAAATCGCAAGTATCACCCGAAGATGCTATTAACGCATTTGAATTGGGTTTGAAGTGGGCTGAAGAGAATTGTGTTTCGTCTGATGAACTTTTGACTCTGAGGAGACTCAGAGACAAGGCGCTGCTGTCGCGTGTAGTCAAATTAGAAGAAGAAAGTTGAATGCTTATATACAAGATACATTAAATATTTATAAAATCTTAACTGACAATAAACTACGAAAAAGGTCTAGTTCAATTGACCCAGCGTCGAATCGATAAAGATTTTTCAAGTGACGCCAATAAATTACAGTTATATTCTTTTAAATATATATAAATAGGCTGTTCCAAAATGATCTCGATCTCACTTTTGCACGTTTTGTGTACGTGAATCACGGGCCTTTGAAAAGTTCTAAAACATTACCAACTTGAAAAGAAAACTGAATTAGTGTAAAATCGTCATGTTTTCAATGTGTTATTTTGGAATAGACAGTTATGGATAATGTTTTAACGTACCATTAGCACCTCGTACTTGAATATTTGTCGTTCGAATTTGTCGATATACACGCTTATAAGTAAATAAATACTAACATTACTCGATATATAATTTTATGTTACTATGCAAATAAGTCAGTTCTGGCCACTATGATATTTGGACTAGATCTTGATCTGCAATGCGACATAAATATTATTAATTATTTTCCTAATTGTTGTACGCAATGTTAGTGAAGTTGTTTTTTTTAAATAAAAGATGATTTGTTTTATCTATCCTATTGTTTAATTCATGGAGGCCCATATGTTTTAAAAAATAATTTAATTATTTGTTTTTTATTTATTTTGATTTTTCAATCGCAATAGAACTGTTCAAATAATTTAGGATACCCAACATTTACTTACGCAGGCAACCTAACGTAACTTAACTAAATCATCAATAAATCTCTTAATAATTTAAATTAAATTATAACTATAGTTATAACTATTTAGTGAAATATATGTTAGAACAGGAGTATCCCCTGTTCTGATATATATTTCTAGTTAATACCAATATGACAGTCTAAATTACAATAGATTTCGTTTATAAAGACCTCTACTATAGCTACGCTATCCTTAAGCCTTTTAAATTTAAAGTACACTTTTAGAGGACAATAATTTGCTTTAAAAATTTTAAATATAGTGATTAGCAACAATTAAGCATTTCCAACACGTTCATAGAAATTTCAGATTTTGTAATCTAGCCAACATACAAACACATAAACGTTTATTATTCATACTGACCACCTGTGGATATAAACAAATGATTTCTTTGAGATTTTGAAGTTTAATCGTAAGTATTTTTTCGTTAAATAAAATTTACCGATTCATGCTGAATCGATTAATTTAAAAACAAATTTTTAGTTTAATAATAAATAAAAGTTAATAATCCTTTATTTTAATTCTATGTATATTTTTTCTGTACCTATAATAACTAATGTACTTTGATTGGAAAAATGGTGGCAACCCTACTAGCAACTCATATGCGCTTCCGCGCAAATCACGGTCCGCTCTAGTGCGCTGTCGACTTTAACTTGCACTCACTTGAAACTAGTCAGGTGTCATGATATTTCGTACGAGTGGTAAATGTGTCTACGAATAATTATTTAAATCAGTGATTCTCCATATTATAGATAAAATTTATCCCACAACCTTGATGGGGACTTTGAAAGGAGTACCGTGATCCTGTTCGCCATCTTTACCACATTTCGTATAACTAACAAATATCTTCGATTATATATATAACATGAGTGAAGGTTATATAATATTTTGTTCCAGCTGATTTCGGCGTGTCAGCTAAGAACAAGTCTACACTGCAGAAACACGACACGTTCATCGGCACGCCTTACTGGATGGCGCCAGAAGTTGTACTCTGTGAGACGTTCAGAGATCATCCGTACGATTTTAAGGTGAGCCTGAATTTTGTTCGAAATACAAATAGAGCGTACATTTATTTACTTTTTTTTATTTTAAAAGTTCTTATAGAAAGATTTTGGAAGAAAACTTAAGTAGTAAATAGTGGAATCAGTACTTTACTTTTCCTACACTGCAGGCTTAGTCTTGAACGCAATCTGAATGTCAATTTGAATCCAATCCAAAAACGAGCTTAATTTTTCATTGAATCTTGGCTCGTACTATTGAAACTTAGACTTGATACTTACTCAATGTCAATCGTTTCATTCAATAATCACTCAATATTGAGCCAATTGGCGTTAGTGTACTAAAAAAGTACTCTTCATCTAAAGCGGGCTTTAGACGATACACAATATCTTTATTGTTGCTCATGCGTATGACGTACATTACATGCCTGTAATTGTATTATCTGCCCTGCGATTCTGTAAAACTTCAAACCCGATTTCGAATCCACTCAGGTGTCCGAATTCATTTCAAAAAGCGGCATCCGATCAAACTTGAATTGGTTATAATGTTTCATGAAATAAGTTCAGTCAGTTTCGAAATGATATAGGATTCAAATATCTAAGACACGTTTAATCAATCAATTTTGTTTAGTATTTTTATACAAAAATGGAATCAATAGGATTTCTTTACTAAATGATGAGAATTCGGACACATGAGTGAATTCGAATTCGGGTCTGGATTGTTACAGAATCGCAGGGCTGATCCGAATGACATCCGAATTCGTACTATAAATCAATACAAAACAGAATAGCATTATATATATATATATATATGTATAAGTTGTAATGGTTCATAATTTCCGAACATGTAACAAGAACATGTATTATTCACATGTAGGACACAAGTCTATTGATAATATTTCATTGTTTATTGTTCAGGTGGACATTTGGTCATTGGGCATCACGCTGATCGAGTTCGCTCAGATGGAGCCGCCGAACCACGAGATGACTCCGATGCGGGTTCTGCTCAAGATACAGAAGGGCGAGCCGCCCTCCCTCGACCAGCCGTCCAGGTGGAGCAAGTCCTTCAACGATTTCATAGCTAAAGCGCTTGTTAAGGTAACAATATCAAACGTTATGCCGACAGCTTCAGCTCCGATGGTCCTGAGTGTGTTTATAGGTGTGTTTGTAGTACTAGCTTTCCGCCGGCGCCTTCGCCCGCGAGTTTTCCATGGGAACTGTTTATTGGTGTATCAATTCATATTATGACACGGATATAAATACAATGACAACTAATAACAATGGTTACTATGGTAACTTTTTAATTCCACTCCCATTTTCATCTCTTTGTTTGGTGTTTTTCTGGATAAATCATATCCTATGTTCATCGCATATGATGTAGCTTCCAGTAGGTGAACGAATTTTTAAAATCAGTCCTATAGTTTCGGAGCTAAAGTATTTATGTACTGATTATTTTGTGTATGTACTTCATTTATTCGTTAAATAAAAAAATACACCACAATATGTAGAGATATGATATTGTGATAAAGTTTGAGATACCATAAGCTACCCTAAATCGAATCTAATTTAGATATAATTGTTGTTCAGTTCGCAAGGTTGCCTGGAGATAACAGGGATGATAACTGGGTAAAAAAAAATGCAATTCTATTTAGTCCGTCAGTCAGATAATAGAAAAATATTAGATACGTATTTTTTTTTTTACTTCAAATTAACAAGAAATAGCTTAGATAACAGGCATTAAAGTTGAGGAGTGGGGACTCGCTACGTCACAGTTGAGTAGAAAACGTACCCTAACGTGACGTCATGCGAAATTTCAACTCAATGTATCGCCGTAATTTTATGATTACGAAAAAAATAAAGAAATACGTGTTCAATATATTTTAACACTCTACCTGACGGACAAACAAACAAAAATTAGTCATCATCCCTATTACTTTTTAGTATTAAGGCCGCCAATTGTGAATTCACATTTATTGTATCAATATGTTTATTTTTTGTCCATTGGTGTACAATAAAGAATTTTTCATTCATTAATTCAAACAAACAAACAAATCTTCCCTCTTTATTATATTTGTATAGAAAAGGACACTTCTGACTTTAATAGACAATGTCTGTTCTTATACTAATCCAATTAAAAGGACATTTTTATTAGTATAAGTAAAATAACATTCTGCGCCTTTGATATTCTGCCCTTTAGACATTATGCTTGTGAATGAAAATTTTGTTACTTATATGTTTGGTGGTGATGTCGCCTATCTTTAATAATGTTTGTACATCTATACATAGTATAAAAAAGTCGTTTCCCGATGTCTGTACACTGAGATCTTTTAAACTCCACAACAGAACGCGGTTTTCATCAATATACAGAGCGATTCATATGTATATACATATAAACACCCAAATCAGAGATAATGTAGTAAAGTTTGTTTTCTACATTGACTCGACCTAGTATTGAATCCGGAATCATAGAGGTGGCGACGCTTTAAGCCGCGTGCGAACCACTCGGCTATGGAGGTCGCCAAAAAAAAACACGACGTCCATTCGCCATCTTTGATGTACCGGGGTCAATGTAGAAAAATCATCATCATCAGCCCTTTTTACGACACTGCAAGGGCTCAGGCCTTTCTTGTGGATGGTTAAGGAGGATGGGTCATGACCTTCCACGCTGGCCCAATGCGGATTGGAGGGTATTAACTACTGCAAATGCAGCCGCGACCAACGGCTTAACGTGCCTCCCGAAGCACGGAGTAGCTCGAGATAATAATTTTTTGGTCACCCATCCGGTCACCGACCCTTGCAAAAGTTTAACGACGACGATCGCGGGCCGCGGCGCTTATCTACTACGCCACCGAGCTACTCTAATGTAGAAAACTGATTGTTCTATATTGTCTCAGATCTGGATGTTGCGGTACCTTCATTGTATCAGACATTCCATAGTACATGAGCTTTAACTACAATATCTTTGAATTTGAACAATGCATGTGATGTCGTCTAATTATTAATTTATGATTCTGCTTGTTGTTGTTAGGAACCAGAGAAGAGGCCCACCGCTAGTGAACTGTTGAAACACGAGTTCGTGAGCGGTGACCTCGATTCGAAACCGCTGAGGGATCTGCTGCTGGAGTACAGAGCCGAGGTGGTGGAGGAGGAGCTGCTCGACGATGACTCTGAGGTATTCACTTGATATATACACGAGAACACACTTCACATTCTTAATATATTTATTGGATAATAATATCTGTAGTGCTATTTGGTTATGAAAATGGCTTAGAAGTTGACGACCTCAACGCTGACACAGTACAGAGATTCAATTAAATACAACCTACTTGAGTAGGTAATTAAAATGTTATTTCATTGAAGCTCTATAGACCCTCTGCACACATGACAGCGCTGAGCTCGACTTCGAGTTGGAGGTTTAACAGAATAGCATATCTGGTCTCGTATAAAAACATTAATGCGGGGTAATTGAAAAAAAATATTATGATTGCTTTTGAAGTATATATTCGTATTTTTAGACAATTTGTTATATAATATTAAATTTGTCTCTTTAAAAGTTGAATAGACAATAAAAAATTATAATAACCTCACTCATTCTCTTGTGTTAACACAAATTATGTTTGGTTAATATAGTTATAAAATACCTTATCTGCTCTTTCAATTGTGTGATACAAGTAATCCATTTAATAAATAATCAATGCAGTCTTGTGTGCCTTACCTAGTATATTTATTTAGTTAGTCACATCTCCAAAGAAATTGTCGTTTTTTTATTTATAATCAACATAATATTGGACATATAATTATTTAATTAATATTTACTAACAAATATAAAACACATCGCTTTATATCGCACGCTTACTAACCGGATAACGCGCAGACTAAATCGAGACGCGGCAAGTCGCGTCCCAACAAGGAGAACTATCAAAGAATTGGTTAGTATATAAATTAAATCGGTGTTGTAATGTTTCAGTATTGTTCCTATTGATTTTAACATTGAAATGAAATGAAATGAAAATATCTTTATTCAAGTAGGCTATTACAAGCACTTTTAAATCGACCAAAAAAAATTTTTTTTCCCCTACCACTTGTTCAGGACGTCTTTTAGCTGACAAGAAGAACAAGCGAAAGAAACTTACCAGCTTTTTATCATAAGTAATGACATTTACATAAATCATGTCATTACCAAAATAATATGTATTATCACAATAATAAATACAACTTTCAAAGTCTGTAGGACATAGGTTGAACATATAATTAGTCTATAGAACAAAGCGAGGGCTATTAATTCCACGCATTGCGATCCTTAAAATAATCATCAAGTTTATAATAGCCTTTACTCATAAGTATATTCTTTACATGAATTTGAAATTTATTTATGGGTAGGTCAATTACACTTTGTGGAACTTTATTGAACATAGCAATACACTTACCCAGAAATGATCCTCTGGTTTTTTGAAGCCTGAAGCTTGGAACATTCAGATTATAACTAAATATACGTTATTATAATAAAAAAAGAAACGTCTGTTTAGATTTACGTTAATGTAGAGCGTTGCGTTTGGTTTACATTGCTTCCGAAACGGAAACGCAGCTGCCCGGGCCTCCGCCTGCGTCGAAGGTAAACACACACACGGGTTGACAACATTATCTAATTTAATTCTTAATTTCACAAGGGAAGGTGACGGATGTCGATATATATTTAATTCAGGAAATATATCTGAATTTTGACAAATCAAAACGTCATTAGTCCAATGAATAATAGTGTTTATATGAGTTTTTTTTTTTAATTTTGACAATTTTTTTTAACAACTATCTGCTTGGGAATACAGCTTCGCTTTATATTATTTAGAAACTAATATTATTATGCTCTGAATACGTTGTATTTTAACAATTGAATAACAGATTTTTCTGTATAATGTTATATTAATAAGGATAAGACTCCGGAATCGGGTCTTTTGAAGTTCTCTATGGCTACGACATGTAAAAACTCATAACTCATAACTTTAATCATACAGTCATCGTTAGCATCGATAGTTCTAGTCTGCAAAGACGAAGATTCACCATGTTGATTGGGATTTCTGTATCTGCCTCTGTATGTGGTTTGTTTGCATTGAACCTTTAAAAAATTCTTCCACCTTCAAGAAGGTACACAATATATTATAATTGCAGGAACATCGGAGCTCACAGATGCACATGGAGGTGGAAGATGACTCCACGTCTGTCCGGTCGGGCGACACGCCGGACGTCAAAAGTAAGTTATTAATATTGGTATTGATATTTCTAATTTAATTACTGTTTATACCTTAAGGGGCTGTCTATTAATCACGTGATGTTTTTTCAGCATTTTTTAAACCCCTCTCCCCTTTCACGATACATAGTGAAGTTTAAGATAACTTTACCCTTCCACCCGAATTACATGTATTTTTAAGTTCCTACAATAAACCTTGAATTTTTGACGCCACTTTTAGCTTTAGTAATCGCGCGTTGACGCAAAAATCAATACACGTTATATTATTGCTACAGCCCCCCTCCCCCATTGTGATATATCGTGATTTTTTGCGATCCCCCTCACTCCCTTTCGAACGTCGCGTGATTAATGGACGGCCTCTAAGATGTGATCAATATCTTACATTTGTATTCGTAATGTAATAATTTTTTTGGTGTACATAATATCAATATAGTCCTTGTGATACAATTAAATTAAAACATAAAGATGTTATAATGTAAAATTATAGAAGATAAACAGGATGTTCCATAAGTCTTGCAATAGAAAGGATCTAACAAGTTTCATGTAGCGTATGATTACTGTTATTTTTGTCTATCGTCAACATCACACCACTAGCGCCATCTGTATGAAATTTTACAATACCTTCTTTTGAAATACAGTTAGTTCTCGTTTGTGACTCAAGCGTTTCATTTCAAATTCAATTAATAATAAGTTATGGGCCCAGCACGCTTCCACTGCGGGCCCATAACCTATTATTAATTGTATTATTAATTATTAATTACTTATTATTAATTATTAATTACCTATTATTAATTACTTGTCACTTATTACAAGTTGCCATTATCTAAGAGTTTTTGGAGCGATCGGAGATAACAGTGCTGGATCACTCTCCCTAAAGCCCAGATCTTGCATAGAGCGACTTTGGTCTCTTCTCACTAAATAATTACCAACCGAAAAGGCGTCTGTTTGCGTCCGATTAAGAGTAGTTTGGTGCGCGTAATGAGGCCTGCGCCAGTGTCACGAAGGATGAGTGGAAGAATATTGTTAATATGTGGTTTGAACATATGCATTAATGTTTTAATTACTGATGGATTTAATTTTGGACAAAAGTAAATAATTATACTTATGCAAGATTTTGGAAGATCTAAGTACTTAAATTTGAAATGACAAAATTTGTAAAATAAGATTTGGATATAAATAGATTTCATGAATTCGGATTGTCTGCTATCATATGGACTGTTTTTTCAATTAGTACACAAATGTTAATATTTTATTTGTTATTGTACAACACCCCTTATTGTACATACCCTGTTTGTGTACTATATAATTTTATTTATATGTTTTATTAATGATCGTACACGTAATGTACAGTGTCGGAAGCGGAGCCCCCCTCGGGTGCGGCGGTGCAGGGCGCCACGGTGCCCCCCGCGCCCGCCCCCGCCCCCGCCCCCGCGCCCGCCAAGCGCCCCCGCGACGACCCCGCGCCTGTTGACAGGCGGGCGCCGGTAACTATACCCTCCTTTACATACATATTGAGATCTATTCCACCGACAATAGGGGTGTTGACAACTTTTTTTTTATAAAAAAAAATTTTATAAGTAGTTTTAAATCTAAAAATAAAATTAGCTTTCAAAATTTTCCCGTGAAAACGCCAATTTCTATCATGGTGTCGCTATGACGTCACGTTCCTCTGAAACTAATATCGTTCTGTTTTGCAATATATTATAAAATAGGTTCAATTCTGAAAGTTTTGATATGAATAAGAAGGGCCTAATGTCACGCGCTATTTGCGGTCACGGGACAACATATAAAAAATATTTGTTTTTCATAATTAATTTAAGCAATATTATAAATATTATACATACAAGATATCATTTTTTTTTATAATGCAGTCTTTACAGTATACTACATTACACCCATTTTACTTATATTATTTCTGTACATAAAATTCATAGTCTAAATTTTCATTGAGAACTTTCGTTTGTGTCGACATGCCAGGCGCCGAAAAAGGAGAAGGGCCCCGCGCCTCCTCCCCCCTCCACGCCGCCCGCCTCCCCCTCCCCGCGCGCCCCCGCGCCTGTCCCCGCCCCCGCCCCCGCACACGCCCCCGCCGCCAAGAAACCGCCCGCGCCCCCGCCCCCGCATGCCGCCAACGCAACGCCGCAACAGGCGCAGGTCAAACAGCTCGTCGATCAGGTGCGTTACGTTATAATAATAGTTGAGAACAGGTTTTACTATTTGCAGTCACTATGTGGATTTTGTCTATATTTTATCATAGAAAAAAAACAGTTACAAAAATTATTTATTCTTATTTAAATAATTAGCTAGTTTGGTGCATGTCCATTCAAAATTATTGACATTTTCAAAAGTTATGACTGAACAACTATAGATGTCACGTCCATTATATTTCTTATTTTAAACTTAATTTTACATAGTTAATAGAAAGTGACAATATATGACATATCTTATATGATGTTATCGATGTTACCCGGTAGGTGTGTCGAGAAGCAGAAAAGGCGGTAGAAGAAAAGAAAGACATGATAAAAGACAGAAATAGTCCCAAACCGGCGGTCAGAGTGACTCCCGAACCGGAAACAAAACCGGTAGCCAACGAGATCGTTAAACCTAGTGTCGAAGTCAATTATATTGAAAAAGACAAAGTTTCCAGTAGATCATCAGAGGATGATAAAACTGAAGTCATAAAGATAGAAAGTAAAGACAAAGAAAGTGAAGTCAATATAAATGATAAGGATAACAAAACGATAGCAGATAGAGATAAAACGGATATTAGTAAAGCGGAAAAGGTTAACGTCGAAATTGATAAGAAAATTGAAATAAATAATAAAATCGTAGCAAATAGTACTGAATTAGATAGTGTAGATGTTAATAGAACTGAGAAAGATGTAGTCGAAATCGAAATTAATAATAGGAAAGACAAAGACACGACTGAAATCAAAATAGAACACCAAAATAGACTGGAAGAAGTTGTTGTTAATAATAAAATTGAGAAAACGAACGAGAGACGAACTCGTCCTAGTTCATCTGAAGGTAAAGTGTTGAGCGAAGTGAATAGGATTGATTCTAGGAACTCGTTGAACGAGGAAAGGCATAGTATAGAAGTGCCCAGGTCGAAGTTGAACGTGAAATCGAGCTCGTTCGAGAGATTCGAGAATGTTACCGTGAATAGAGTAGATGGGAAAGATAAATTCAATAGGTCTGGATCTGTGGACGGTAAAGATAGAATAGAGGTAGATAGAAGGGTCCTAGAAGATAGGAATAGAGAAAAGAGGAGATCGCAACACAATTCCGTGGAGATCAGGCCAGTGACGGTGAGTTTCATTATATTTTTCAATTAATAATCTATTTAGTTCTTGTTTTGCAAAGTTTACACATCAAATTTTAATTGACTTTCATTGAACTCTTTCTTTATTAAACACAATGACAAATGACTTCATTAATTTTCTCAACTGGCAGTTCTAGACGAAATTGCAGCACAAATGATAAAAAAAATTGAATAAACACATAATTTAATGTATAGTATTGTTTTTATATGAACAAGGACACAATTTCATTGCCAGATATTATAATCAAGTCAGTGTTATTATAAAAATAAAATAATCGAAAAATTATTTGAGCATGTTGAGAATTATTAGTTTTTATTTTGCTCTCGTAATTAATTTATCGAATATTAACATCACAAGATCCTGAAATCGAGTGACTGAATATGGCCTATAAATAGACCTCGTGTCTCTGGAACAACTATCGATTACTTAATTCGTGTAGCTTAAGACAAAAGTCCAGTCATTGAGTAATCAGTGCCTCCGTCCACTAGTTGAATAAGTTATTATTGTGAACAGCCTCCTCAGCCCAAAGAGCCGGACATCAAGTCGTACCCGGTGGTAGCGAGGGTGGCGGTGTCGGCCACCAACGTGGTGGTCCCGGTGGCGGCCACTAACGTGGTGGTCCCTGTGGTCCCTGTGGTGCCGGTGGTCCCGGAGGGCGTGGTGGTGGTGGAGCCCAACTCGCTGGCCGCCACGCCAGCCGGACACGTGACCGTCACCACCACGCATCCGCCGGTGCTCACCACCGCCGCACAGGTATGCTATATATATGTATATATGTATAAGTATACTAGCTTTTGCCGGCGACTTCGTCCACGTGGTAAAGTTTCTTTGAGCGGCATTATTCATTAAATCGTGTAAAATACCTGAAATAAAGCATCAAAATTCTTTCTTAGGGGATGCCTACGTCATAGTAGCTTTATGCATGCAAAGTCTCAGCCCGATCGGTTTAAAATTGACAAAGTTTCATACAAACTTTCATCCCCTATTTTATCCCCTTGAAAAATTCTTTCTAAGCGGATGCCTACGTTATAACATCTACCTGCATGCCAAATTTAAGTCCGATCCGTCCAGTGGTTTGGGCAGTGCGTTGATAGATCACTGCGTCAGTCAGTCAGTCATGTTTAAGTTACATATATATAAATATTAAACTTGTTTTGGAATCACAGTCATATAAAATAACAATAATTGACAAACAGTAACATAATAAAAAGGTGACCAAATTAATATAAAAAAGGATTTTAATTCAATTCATTAATTACTTCACAATGTGAGGAACTTATCCCACATTTTGTTGTTTACCAGTTTATAGAAATAAAAATCAATGTTGATGTGTTTGTGTTATTTATTGGATCTAATTATAAATTTGATCAGTTTTGAATTCATAATGCTATACTGAAAAATATTCTTAATGAAAATGTTTAAAACATCCACTTTGTCCCCGGCACTCTAAGGTTGGACTCGAACCCATGACCTTTCACAATGCGGGCGACTGCTCTAATCACTGAGCTTCCCAGGACCTACCAGGACTGACGAATTTTAAAAAATACCTATTGTTTCATTAGTTTAATTTTTAATAAATATAAATCAATATAAATAATAAACCAATGCTTAAAAGACATACCTTGCAAAAATCATAGACAAACGTATATTTTCTTTGATCAAAGAGCACAGATACATTAGTGTTACCAGAGGCAATAATACAGAAGGCAACATTAACAATTTATCTCGAGGTGCCGTTATAGATTTAAAATCAAATTAGTTGCCTGTAGGTGAAAGTAAATTTGAAATAATTTCAGTAATTTCGGGGCAAACACACAAACAATAATTTTTTCCCACATTATAATATTAATAAAGACGTAACTTTCAATTGGTCGATTTAAATCTGTATGTATGTTCTCACAGCTGCCTCCCAACGCTGTGACAATATCGACGACTCCCCCTATAGCCGACGAGGTGGTCATAGTCGGCGCGGGATCGTCCTCCGACGACGATTGCTTCGCGCCGTCGTCGCTGGACTCGTTGGACTGCACGCAGTACAGCGGTACGTCACTAGTTTGTTGTTTACCGGCCGGTTGGTGATAACGAAGTGCCACAACCACCCGGACGCGAGACAAAACAGCCAAACCCGAAGTCGAATTCACTCAGGTGTCCGAGTTCACTTCAAAATGCGGCAACCGCTCAATCTTGAATTGGTAATAACGTGTCGTGGCATAAGTGAAGTGAGTTTCAAACGATATAGGAAAAAATAGCAGAGACATATATAATCAATCAATTTTGTTTTGAAATTTATACAAAACATAGAATAAACAGAATTTCTTTACTTCTCGGCTGTAAAAATGTTTAAATTTCGATATATTTATTTCCGAAATATAAGTTTATTGACTTTATAAAATTTAAAATAAACACATACAAGTACTATTTCAAACTGAGAAGAATGCCCTATTATGTATTGGTAATGGTGGAATTTGTTATTGCGTAGAGAGGAGTAGATGCCGTCGGCTGGACAGCAGCGAGGTGCTGATCCTGAGCCCCGCCGCCGCCGATTCCGGCGTGTTCGACGACAGCAACCACGCCACCGCCAACCTGGTATACTATACTATGCCAAACTATGCTATACCATACCATACCATACCACACAATACCATACCATAAAGTTCATACAATACCGTACCGTTTCAAAGATTACCCGGAACAAACAGACACACAAACAAAAAAATATATTTTTTGTAAATGTACCGTGTATATATACATATAAATGAAACGCGGTTATTTTAATTTTACAAATAGAGACTCCTATTTTATTTATTTTTATAGATGCGTGCATCATATACAATACTATACTCCACTTATAATATATTTTTTCATCATTCATCATTATGACACTCTACTAATTATTTAAATTACTATTATTAAATACCTGAAAAATATTTAAAATATACAGGGTAATTTGTTAAACACTGGCAACCTAGCAAGACTAGATCGACCGTTTCAAAATAAAGCATTGAATACACTTAATTTAACTTGTTTTAAGTTGTTCTTTATATTTCTTTCTATTTTAAATAATTTGTGAATGGACTTTTGAAAAGGTTTAAAAACCTTATAAATACTATTGAAAAGATTTAAACTTTGTAATTAACTTTTAATCAATAGTTTTTATGTTTTTATATCTATTTGTTATTGAAAGTTAATTAAATAAAATAAAAAAATAATAATAATATTTTCATCAGATAATATTATTCAAAACTTTGTAAATAGCTTCTAATATGTTAGATTTTCTTTTCTTTTTCATTATTTTTTGATTTTTATTTTTAATATGTATTCGACTGATGGAGTTATATCCAGGTTAAGAAATAAACTAAAAAAAAAAATTGTTTTGTCACATATTGTAGGACACATCTCACGTGTCAGTGGTGACGGTGGGCAACGAGGAGGTGAGGGTGAGGGACTCGCGCGCCGCCACCACGCCCAGGCTCAGCCCCGATAGCTGCGGGAGGTAATGTACAAGCTAATATCAAATTTAAGACCTTTAACATATGAACTTGTTGAACAACAACAGAAATGGCGGTAACAATACGTGATGTACGAGTATATAGTGTCTTATATTGTAAATATAATTGGCTGCTTTATAGTTGTAACAATATATTATGAAGTATGTTTGAAATGGCAACTTATAACTATGAAGTATTTTCTTTTAATATAAATGTTAAGTATATTTTATTTTTGTAAAATCGACTTACAGTTTATAATCTGTGAATTAGCAGATACGAAACGCGGACGGCCATGACGGAGCGTCGTGTGACGTCACATTTTAATTAAAAAGCATTATAGTGTTATTTACTTAAATCTTTAGATTAGACGAAATTTCTTTATAATTTTAAATTGTGCTTGTATAAATGTCACAAATGGAGAAAAAATTCATAAATATAATTTATTGAACTTAATAATAAGGAGTCATGTGTATTGAAATGTGACGTCATGCATCAAAATTTTACGTGATATCTCCGACAGTGGTATAATTTACGATCATGTTTAATGATAAACAAATATTAATTACTCACTTTGTAGACGAAGGGCTAAGCATGTTCTTGTGCTAATGTAAGAATTAACTTTACTGAGTTAGACGGACAGGGTCCATATTTGATTGTTATATTTATTTAACACCAGTAACTGTTGCAGTATACAGCCGATTGCACAAATTTTAATTTGTTTAAAGCGACATTACCGATACAAATTTGACATTCATTAGAGTTTAAAAACCTCAATGGATGTTTGTGCAACTGACGTATAATGTGTGCATTGTATTTATTGTGTTGCACCAGACGGTCTCAGTCGGACAGCGGGTCGGTGGCTTCGGGCAGTTCTCGCATCGCTCACGACGCGGACTCGCTCGCCACCAGCAACGAGCACGACGACGAGCATAACACCAATAATAGGTCGGTACGCTGATAACTTTATGCTGGTAGAATAGGGATGATGACTGGGTAAAAAAATGCAATTCTATTTAGTCCGTCAGTCAGATAATAGAAAAATATAAGATACGTATTTTTTTTTTACTTCAATTTAACAAGAAATAGCTTAGATAACAGGCATTAAAGTTAAGGAGTGGGGGCTCGCTACGTCACAATTGAGTAGAAAACGTACCATAACGTGAAGTCATGCGAAATTTCAACTCAATGTAACGCCGTAATTTTATGATTAAGAAAAAAATAAAAAAATACGTGTTTAATATTTTTTAACACTTTACCTGACGGACAAACAAACAAAAATTAGTCATCATCCCTATACTTCAGTCTAGATTTTATTTTCGAATATTATAACATTAAAACACTTACAACGAATGATATTCACTCTATGCCGGTCTCGATCAGAAAGTAAGATTGTCAACCAGCAAAATACGAACATGTTAATTCGTATACGATAAAGTTATAATTTCAAATATTAACGGCCAGCATTGACCATAAATCGTCCGAAGAGTAAACTTACCTATAGTAATGTGCAGGGACGTTACAGTACCATTCATGTGTACACAGGCACAGATACAAATATGTATATTATACAGATGTTGACCGTCTTAACTTGGGCTATTAATCGGGCTATATTGTCTCATTTGAGTCGCCGTTATATTCCGCAAGTGAGCAAGCAACACTTAAAATTGGACTTGGTCTATTCTATGGATTTTCACTTAAATTTCAATAGATGGCGTTGATTCGTAGCACATCATAAAAGAACGTTAATATAGATACACATTAAATATACCCTTCCTATAACAGTTTCTTGTGTCTACTATTAAATGTAAGTTTATTGTCTTTTATATTTGTTTTAAATGAGGGCTAACGCGTTTGAATTTGCCACTAAAGGCGCTAGTGTAGCGTGAGGTCTTCAAAATGTCAAATATCATAATTGTCGGTAAACTATGCACGTTTATTTTCATATAAACGAATTTTGACGCTTATTTTGGTTTACCTGAGATTCATTTGGTTTACCTGAGAGAAAAGTGATTATGAATTACCGGTCAATGAATGTCAGTGATTTAAAGCCGGAACTAAGAAAAGTAATGCAAAATTAAGCGCAAGGAAAGAAGAGCTAAATCAGAGTTTAGTTCGTGTTTATTCAGCATATTTGATATTTTTAATGAAATGTTTTATTTATGTATTATGATGTATGATTTAAGTTCAATCTCGTAGTGAACATATTTTGTGAAGACCTCTCGCGACTGCCGCGCCATCTGGTGAGCGAAAAAGCCGTAGCCCTCATTGTAAATGAATAAAAAATTAAACATCAAGGAAAAATGTTTTAAATAGAATAATAATAAAAACCTTGTCATTTACAACGCCATCTCTGTGTTGACATTTAATTATTTAAAGCATACTTTTGCTCTAAAATTGTGCTGACTTGTAATTTGATCAAAACTGGATTTCATTTCTTTGAGCTTAGGTTTTTTTTCCTTTAAGAAATTATTCTGGTTATTACATATTCTGGATTTTTTACAAACGTGAAATACTATGTGGTGTGAAAATAATTATAAACGACCTCCTATACAACCCCTTAAAAGGATCCGGTCTAATTACACATAACCCTGTATAGATAGATGATTTATGAGGTGTCATATTAGTTGAATTTTACTGTTTGCCTCGTTCTTGTATTGCTATTCGATACTACAATATTATCGGATTACTCATAATTTCACATCACCCTGTAGGATCAGTACGGATGTCCAGAGCTTAGAAAACGGTGACCAAGTGGTACTCCGGAGGAAGACTCAGGATGGGCAACCAGTTAACAGGATACAAAGGTAACTTGATATTTATATAAGTCCAGATTGAATTATTATTTTTTATAATCTTTATTTACCTCTAATTCAGTCTTATTCTTATTGTACATCGGCGCGTAAATGTGCTGGTCAGCCACTTTGAAGATATTATAATTGCAACTGTTGGTCACGGATCAAGGATGGTCTGTGCTTTCGACCAAAAACTTTTAATGATTCCTGCATCTATGGCTCAAGTGTTGACTGTATAAAGGTTCAGGTTCATCGAAATCAAAGATTGCTTCATAAATATTTACGCAATTGTCCTACCCTTATACTAAAAGTTAAGCTTACAACTAGATTATAATCACAGCACATTCTGCGACCGCGCGCAGGGTGGGGGAATCACGCTACCGGGTGGGTGTGGCTTCTGCAGCCAATGAGCTTCACGATAAATGCGCTGTGATTGGTCGTTCGTTCTGTACAATTATGAAGCGCGTGTCTGTCGTTAACAGCAACATTATACCTTTAAAAATTTAAATCAGTTATTTATGCAGATAAATTTACATTTAAAAGTTATTGTTTGGATAAGGTTAGAAGACTCACTTGTAAGTTATATAATATGTTTGCTCGTTTATTTTTTACTAGCTGTGTCCGCAACTTCGTCCGCGTGGAAAGTAACCTAAGTTACCTTATAACATAAGCTATCAGTCGGTGTAAGTCCCGTCGAAACCGGTCTAGCCATTTCAGAGATTAGCTGGAACAAAGAAACATACAGACGAAAAATTTTCATTCAAATTTATGTCCGAGGCGCATTCTTTATCATAAAAAAAATCTCTAAAAGTTTCTGATATATACTAAGTATCATAATATAAAACGTATTTATTTTTTGCCAAATAGGTCGAAAGAGGATATCCATCTCGCTAACCTGAAGAAGAAGACGCGCAAACGTACGAGAAAGTTCGAGATAGACGGCGTCATTGTCACCACTACCACTTCTAAGGTGAGTTATCAAAATCTATAACATACCAGCCGGTTTCTCACAAAATCTCGACTAATTATTGTTAATATCTTTTTTGCTTTTCACATGTCGAAAAGTCTTAGTTTTATCAAACTGTTATCAACTGTTTATGAGAAAAAAACAAAAATCAGAAACGAAAAAATTAAAGTAACGCTTAAATATATTTTGAGGCATGCTCAACCTTAAATGTTGAATGTGTGAAAGTGTAATATTATTTTCAATGCAGTTGCTCATAAAGCGCTATTTTTTTAATCCATTGTAAACACCGAAAGTGAGTCTTTAAACGCGTGTTATATAAAAATGTACTGAAATCCTTTACTGAACACGTGCTTAAAAGTACTTTTTTAATTTTTTTTTGACCGAGCACCAAAGAAATTAAAAAAAAATTGATGAAAATATGTCAAACTTTAGAGGCAAAAGTATTTCAAGGAGCCTAGAACGAATATTTTCAAATAAAAATGTATGACACGAAAACATGTTCAAATATCTAATTTTAAGTTTAATTTTAACAAATAATTTTTACCTTTAATACATACTTAGTTTTATTAATCTATATATTTGTTTTATTTCCTCGCAAAAAAGCATTGAAAAATATTGTAAGAAACTTTAGCGTAAAAGATTTTTCGAATTCGTGTCAATTTGGCTCTTATTCATAAAACCTTACTTTCCGTACTCATAGCTTAAATAACTATTATGGATATCAGGTGATATGGGGTGACGAGGAGAGCGGGCGCACGTGGGACGATCACGCTCTTCGCAAGCAAGAGCTAAGGGAGATCAAGATGCTGCAGAAGCAGGAGCAGAAGCAGTTCCAGGACCTCAACGCCAAGGAGCTGCAGCTGAGGGAGCAGCAGGACAAGAGGTGAACTATAATATTATTAATACTAAACTTTATAATCTTATTAATACTAAAATGTCACTTTCAAAGTGACAGCAACAGATAACTTTCAAAAAGTGATGCATGTAGTGCAATCGATAAATAGCTTACCGTTGTCGATATTTTCCGTCACTGACCCGGTACTGATTTTCAATTTAAATGAATATTGATAAATATGGATAGTCGTATATACTACTTGTTGTGGTCCCTTCGTTGTCAGATATTTAATAATACGAGGGTTTTATTTATTCATCTTATTTATATAACTAGCCTTCCACCAGCGGCTTCGTCCGCGTGGTCTCGTATTATACATAAAAACCTTCCTTTTGAATTACCCTATCTATGAATAAAAAAACCGTACGAAAATTCATTGCGTAGTTTTAAAGATTTATGCCAGTTTTCATTAAACTTAGGAGTCGCCCAAATCTGTCATCTAAATATTTAGAAATCGCCTATGGTAAAAATGCAATTCACCAGAGGTCAATCACACATAGGGATGTAGAGAAAGCGACTTTGTTTTATACCATGTAATATACGTGGGGTGGGTCAGGTTCGAGGCGGAGCTGGTGTCCCTGTCGCGCGCGCACGAGACGGAGCTGGACGGCCTCGCTCGCGCACAACGCGCGGCCGCGGAGAGGGCCGAGCAGCAGCTGGAGACGGAGCTGCGGCACGCGGCCAAGCGGCTGCGCGCCGAGCAGGAGCGCGAGCTGAGGCACTTCCGCGACACGCTCAAGCAGGAGCTCCGGCTGCTCAAGCAGGTTAGATGGTTAAGGAGGGCTTTCACAATGGTCACCCATCCCGTGGCGGACCATTGGGAAAGTTGCTTAATAGTAACTATCGTGGACAGCGCTTATCTTTTACGCCGCCGAGATAGTTTTTTTAGTTATTTATTTATTATTAATGTTGACGTGATGTCAGGCGGTACAGTTTTTTTGCTAAGACGGAGTGGAATTTATAAACGAACGTTCACTATTCTTGTCTTTTAATATGTCATGAAATAAATTCATGCGTCTTGGATTAAGTCTAATAATCTCGGTAGTGATAAATAAGTCACGAAATTGCACAAGAATTGAAATTTACAGCGTAGTAAAAAGATATTCCGATTTTGTGTCTTAAAATAGCATGTTTTAAAATTTAAAATCGTGATTTATTTTTTGTGCGTCACGTGTCTTGTAACACGACCCGTTATTTATTAATAATTATAAATCTAATTCCTATATTTTATTGACGTTGTTCTTGTTTTATTGACATGGTTTAATCTTCTACACTATGCATCTGTTTTGTATACATATCATAATGATGCCATTAATATGACGGACAGCGTTTTTGATTGAAGGCAAGAAAACGTGTTTATTTTTCCGAAATATTAGTTTTCTGGCTTTTTTTAATGAAAATAAACAGCTACAAGTATTATTTAAATCGGACTAGAATACTATATTCTGCCAATGACAAATGAATAAATTTCTATACGTTAATTGAAAATCTAAAATAAGTTTATTCACGTACATTATATAGTAAATTTATGCTAAAATTATAATTTGAATATTAGACCGAATGCATATTATATAGAGAATAAACGATATAAGTTAACCTTTGCCAAGTCTCTGTTTAATAACATAAATTTTGACAAATACAATGGTTCGATGTCCGCACCAGGAGGTGGAGTTAGTGAACAAGGACCGCCGCAAGGAGGCGTACCGTGCGCGGCGCGCGCGCCTGGACGCGGAGCAGGCGGAGCGCGAGCGCGCGTTCGTCGCTGCGCTCGCCGACGCGCACGACGCTGTGCTGCGCCGCATCCACGAGCACCACCGCGACCGGCAGGCGCTCGCCGACCGCCAGTACCTGCAGCGCCGCCATCAGGTCATCTATATATACATACCGTATTAGATTCCACACGGACTCGAAATAAACAAAATACTACAATAGGGATGATGACTGATTTTTTTTACTTCAATTTAACAAGAAATGGCTTAGATAACAGGCATTAAAGTTGAGGGGTGAGGGTTCGCTACGTCACAGTTGAGTAGAAAACGTACCATAACGTGACGTCATGCGAAATTTCAACTCAATGTAACGCCGTAATTTTATGATTACAAAAAAAGTAAAAAAATACGTGTTTAATATTTTTTATAACTCTACCTGACGGACAAACAAACAAAAATTAGTCATCACATACTTTACTATCGAAAGTAAGTAATTAAACTTAAACTAATTATAAATTAACTAATGATAATAGTTATTATTGGTAGTTCAGTAATAATTATGAAGCTTTAATACTCAAAATATGCAATGAGATATAATAAATTTAACTTTTGCCTTAAAAAAACTATCAATCCTCGATTGCTTCGCTTCTTTCTTATTGCTATCAAACAGGTCTTGGTAACACTGATAGGGTTGCACAAATTTTGTTATTAACATGAAAACCCCACGGACATTGACCTCGTGACCAATGAATTCTCCTATGCCGGAAATCGAAACAAATGACGTATGTTTGAGGAACAGTGTCAAAACATTGTTTGAAGTAACTTGAAACGACGTAAGTCGAGGACTGCCTGTATATTTATGGACATAACATGACGGCAGGTAGTCAGAAGGGGCTATTACGAAGCCCAAATAGATCGCGCGTATCGAGGGAATATATACAAAATAACACTGCAGGCAGGCAAATAAACTATATGGCATAGATATTTTTTTATTATCTTATCATTGAAAGTTTCAAATCACAAACCTCACTGCACCCGTGCTATGTGAAAAAGAATATAATATACAACCGAGCCATAATAACGCCGAGGGCTTTCTAAACCGAAGTTCTCCGTCAGCACGGGATACAGATGACGCCAAACAACTTGAATAAATGACCTTGCATGCGCAGAAACCGATTTTAGGCGTCGCGGTATGCGGTGCGGGGCGCGGCGTGCGGAAGTAGGATCGCATCGACCGCGCCAATCCACGCTATTGGTGGATCAGTCAACCATCGCTTCCCGCTTTGTGTTCACGTCTCATCGCTACTTCAGTACACTTGCAGGCAATAACATCACGACCTCAAAATATGTCTCGTCGACAATCAAACACAGTTTTAAAAAGTTATAATAGTTTACAGTGGTTGCACTAGACTAGAGGGTTCATAACGGTCTTGTAGTACTGCTACGAAGTCTCGTAATTTCTCACTACTACTATACACGCAGCTACTTACTTCACGTGTATCATTCGTGTGCACGTTTACCACTCAGTCACTCATGCAAATAGGACAGAAAAAATACAGAAATAAATAGTTAACGTAGGAATAAGAAATTCTAATGCATAGGTTTTTTTGCTCGTAAGTGTACATGCGCAAACTTTCCCCCACCACCACACTTTTTGTTCAAGTTGTTTGGCGTCATCTGTAGCGTAATTTATAATTATAACGAATGTAATGTTTTATAGATAATGAGAACCCGCGAGGCGGCACTATGGGAGTTGGAAGAGAAGCAGATCCACGAGCGGCACCAGTTGGCCAAGCGACAGCTCAAAGACGAGTTCATGCTGCGGAGGCACCAGATGCTCGTCAGGCACGACAAGGAGCTGGAGCAGATCAAACGGTGACCATTACTTGATCTTAAATATTGATGTTTTTATTTTTGGTATAACCATGAGTGTTACTATATCATAGGTTATAATTATTTATTTTTCTATATCATTGATTGGTCGTCGGCTAATGGGACAGTAAATTGTACTCGCTCAGTTCGCCCCCCACACCGCATGCAGGCTCCATCGACCAATGTAAATGAACTGTATATGTGTGTTTTTTTTTAATATTTTATTTTGAAAAAAATATGCAATTAGTTGAGATTCTATCGAAATGCGATTATGACGTAAATATTAGCTGAATTATCCCGCAGGGGCCTCGCATTATGGCTCGTTCTAACTATTCCATCCTTCCATGGCATTAACAGGCTGAAGTTAAATATGATGATAATAGTATAAAAGTTCACTCTTGTTTCTACAATGGATAATAATAATTCAATACGTATCTTTACATATCGGCTTCACCCGCGTGGTCCATATGAAAAAAATTCACACCCCTTAGTCATCCCCTTAGGGGTTAAGGGTTGAATTTCTAAAAATCCTTTCTTAGTGTTTATTTACATCATGAAAGGTATCCGTGTAACAAATTTAAAATTTCTATGTGCAGTAGTTTCTGTGCGTCGATATATAGGTCAGTTATGACTGCTTTTTATAATAATAATAATAACAATAATATTATTATATTGCACGTAGAGAATATGACAAAGTCACTAACCAAAAACAAGGTATTTTTTCACTTTTGGCGACATCTTTCTTTGTGATGAGTACACTTGAAGATGCAAAGATCCCTGTGAACGTAACTTGCTTAGAAACCGCTAGGTGGCGTTGTGACGATACGTTGTTTAGAGGGGCTGATTACAATTTCTTGAACTTTTAACGCTCATTGCTGGAAATCGCATTTTTTTTTGCATTGTGTCACTATCATTCTCAGCGTACGAATTGTGTTGGTGATGCAATCAACAGTCGGAGAATTTGATTATATTCATTCTCTCTTATGTTTTATCGCAGAGTTTATTATTTACAATACAGAGTACGAAAACGTTCGCATTCATGTTTTTTTTCTTTATTTCTTTACAATGGACTCACTCTTGACTTCAATCTAGCCTAAGGACATAGATGAGATCTACGGTGGGACGAGCTTGCTCAGAAAGAACCTATTCACACTTGCCTTAAATAGATCTGGGTTTTATGCATTCGGGATTATGGGGCGCAGTAAATAAGATGAAGAAAAGCGCTTTGTACGGCATTTCATACAATTTTGCCACGCTTATGTGGCATTTGATCGATTGCAATTAGCCACTTTTATCTCGCGTTAATTAGCCTATAAATTTAACCCTTCCACTGTATGCGGGGTTCGCTCCCGCCTGTGCAAAGTCAAAGTCAAAATAATCTTTATTCAAATAGACTTCTTAAAAGTACTTTTGAATCGTCCAACATTTTTTTCCCTACCGCTCGTTCGGGACGTCTTTTGGCTGATAAGAAGAACGAGCAAGAAACTCACCAGCTCTAATAAGAGTAATGACATTCACAAAAACCATGTCATAACCAGATAAATATGTTATAAACAGAGATAGAAAAAAAAAACTATGGTCTTATAATGATAACATAATCATTTAATAATAATGGAAACAAGATAATGAGTTTAGAAGTAATCACCTATCCAGTTGCTGGATCATCTCAAGTCCAAGCGTTCTTATCTGTTATATAATCGGATACCTTATAATAAGCTTTTTTAATAAGTATTTTTTTTAAAGTAGATTTAAACTGCATGATATCTAATTGTTGTATTTTGCTTGGGACCTTATTGTAGAAGTGCACACAAAGACCCTTGAATGAGTTATTAACTTTTTGCAGTCTAGTGACAGGCACCGTTAATTTATTTTTATTTCTTGTATTAAAATTGTGTACATCACTTTTTATAGAAAACAAACTAATATTTTTACGAACGTACATTAAGTTCTCGTATATGTATTGAGAAGCAACAGTCATAACGTCTATTTCCTTAAATTTCTCCCTTAAAGAGTCCCTAATCCTAAGATTATAAATTGATCGAATTGCTCTTTTCTGAAGCACAAAAATTGTTTGTATGTCGGCAGCATTTCCCCACAATAGGATACCGTACGACATAACACTATGAAAGTAACTGAAGTATACTAATCTGGCAGTATCTATGTCAGTTAACCTACGTATCTTCATTACGGCATATGCTGCAGAGCTAAGTCTACTCGACAATCTATCAATATGTGCCGTGCCCCCCTCTACTCGCTACGGGGGTGGGTTTTTTATTTTCAATCAATTATTTATTGCATAAAATATGGTGCGGCTACAACAGATGTCATATAATAAGAGTATCACATATTTACTGTATAACAGTGTGCAATAGTTTTAGTATGTAATATAATATTAGTTTTCATTTATAATTAATTTTACTAATTTACATTATAATCTTTTCATGCATTAACCTTATTATTATTTTATTCACACGTCATTGACTCAAAACATTATTTCAGTCTTTACAATTATTTCATAAGTACATCAATTTACATGTTACAATAACAATAAGTCAAGTATGCTTAATATATAAATCCATGTCAATTATAATAGTTATTTAAAATACGAGTGCGGAAAGTAAGGTTTTACGAATAAGGGCCAAATTGGCACGAATTCGAAAAACCTTTTACGCTCAATTTGCTTACAATATTTTTCAATGCTTTTTGCGAGGAAATAAAACAAGTATATAGGTTAATAAAACTAAGTATGTATTAAAGGTAAAAATTATTTGTTAAAATTAAACGTGATATTTGAACATGTTTTCGTGTCATACATTTTTATTTGAAAATATTCGTTCTAGGCTCCTTGAAATACTTTTGCCTCTAAAGTTTGACATATTTTCACCAATTTTTTTTAAATTTCTTTGGTGCTCGGCCAAAAAAATTAAAAAAGTACTTTTAAGCACGTGTGCAGTAAAGGATTTCAGTACATTTTTATTTAACACGTGTTTAAAGACTCACTTTCGGTGTTTATAATGGATTAAAAAAATAGCGCTTTATGAGCAACTGCATTGAAAAATAATTTTATAATACACGTTATGAAATACACATTTGCGGGGCTATTATATTTCGGTTGCGGGGAGACGTTTTCGTGTTCGCCGTCCGTAACAGTATATTTATATGTGTGGTTATAGAAAAAACGGTCGCAAGGAGGAGGAGTTGGCCAAGTGTCAGGCGTTGGAGAAGCGTTCGCTGCCGAAGCGTATACGCGCGGAGCAGAAGGCGCGCGAGATGATGTTCCGCGAGTCGCTGCGGATCAGCGCGCTGTCCGCCCCGCACGAGGACGACCGCGACAGGATCAAGAAGGTCAGCCGCCGGACTAGACTATGGGCACCGTGTGACGTCACATTTCAATAAACCAAACTCCGGCCAGTGCTCGTGTTTATTGCAATGTGACGTGGACGACGTGTGTCCGTATTAGGGATGCCAGATGTCAGGGATATCCGCGATCGTCACGGGATTTTGTGTGTTGTCCCGTGTCCAGTAATTTCACTTTGCTGTCCCGCAATGTGGAAATATTTAAAAAAAAAATCTGTTCCCGAAATCAAACTAGATGTCACTACGGTACGTTATTGATTTCGCCATGATAACCCTACCGGTGTTCTTTCTTATGTAAAAATAAATTAGTTTTCAATACTCAATAAACAACTCATATTCTATTTGTACTTTTTCGTATTTGTATTGATATCTAAGTTTCGATCTTTGCTAATTTCAGTTTTTTTTATATGTTAGTTAAAAGGAACGGAAATGACTGTCTTTGGTCCAATCGTTTCCTGCAAAAATCAACTTTTGCTAGGGTTGCCATCTAGTGGATATACTTTTATAGTGATTTTTTTTTTTTCAATATTTCCTCATTCAAAAATAGTTTTTTTTTTTTCACTAAGTTTGATTTGATTACTGCAGTTAGCAAAATCAACACAACATACTGAGATCATATCTTTTTGTTTTCATTAAGCATTTGATTCCTTAGTTATTTAACACGTTTTGTTTTTTTTTAATCGTTTGCATAAATGGAACCAAAGTTTCGGCCCGAACACCAAAACTCTGATTCCATTCGTGGACCCACAAACGTCTAGAAAATTATAAGCCTGAATCTGTCAACCCTAGTCTGTATGTGTGTCTATATGTTTTGTACAGTTCCAAGAGAACGAGAAGAGACGTTACAGAGCCGAGCAGCAACGCCTAACAACGAAGCATACTAAAGCGAGGGAGGAGCTGCGCGCCGCTGGAGAGGTGATTATTATAACACTAGATTGTCTCGTGACTTCGCTCCAGTAAACTGTATAATAATAATACTAATCTTTATTTGCGAAAATATGATTACAGGATAGTTCAACATTTTTGGCCAGCATATTTTATCGTCAAGACGATGTGCAAATATTAAAGTTAAAATACTATCTAAATCATACAATGGGGATGACGACTGGGTAAAAAAAATGCAATTCTATTTAGTCCGTCAGTCAGATAATAGAAAAATATTAGATACGTATTTTTTTTTACTTCAATTTAACAAGAAATAGCTTAGATAACAGGCATTAAAGTTAAGGAGTGGGGGCTCGCTACGTCACAGTTGAGTAGAAAACGTACTCTAACGTGACGTCATGCGAAATTTCAACTCCATGTAACGCCGTAATTTTATGATTAAGAAAAAAATAAAAAAATACGTGTTTAATATTTTTTAACACTCTACCTGACGGACAAACAAACTAAAATTAGTCGTCATCCCTATTTGTATGATTTTATATGAAATATAAATGTTGAGGAATTAAAGTACATAAAAAATAGCAAATGTCAAATCATAGTCTTATAAGATACAATAGATTGATAATATAATCAAAGGATTCGTACAATAATTAAGAATGAGATATATCTTGCAGGAATTCATTAATTGAATAATAATTTTTGTCCATTAAATATTTAAATAAATAGGGTTTGAATTTAATAACATTATCAATATTTTTAACATTGTTCGGTAATTTATTATAAATGCGTATACTCATTTAGTGTTATTAATTAGAGTAAATTAACACTGAGACTGCACTTGGTATAACTCTTAATTAATATTGTTAAATGGAGACTTAGCAAAGGTTAACCTAGTACGAGGTTCTACGGAAATAATATTAACTCCTAGAATGTAGTAGGTTTGCTTATTCTCTGTTTAACATAAATTCGGATTAATATTAAAATTACAATTTTAGGGTAAATTTACTCTGACGCTAAACTTTGTTTATTAATAGCATTGATAGAGTTTGAATTGACAAATACATAAATTTGTACCTTTCCTGCGCCTATGTGCAAAATATTTATTTTGTTCAAATAAATGGAAATGTTTTTTTAACAAATATCTCTATTTAAAAAAAAAATATAAACATGGGAGTGGTAATACCAGTATAGTCTACACCACAGACTGACCGTATGCATTTCTTTTGTATATTAAAAGCACGAATTGCATCCACCGTATTATCCCACGTTACTATACCATACCGCAACATAGATGAGACGAAACTATGATATGCTCGTATCTAATTATATTAAGAGCAAATATAAATTTGTCCAATTTGCCAGCAATCATGTCTATATGTGCGTTCCAATTACATAATTTGTCCATTATGATCCCTAAGAAATTTATTTCGTCTAATATGTAGCCCTTGTCACCCGCCTATTATGTAACTTTCCGTAGTTGAAAGAATTAGTTACGTGACAGTAGTTTCGGAATATAAAAACAATCATATCTTTTTAAATTGAGTATAGATAATTGTAAAATGAGGTATATAAATAATGTGTTTAGAACTAGCAACATTTAACATTATTGGACAGATTTTATCCTGTCTCAGGCTCAGGGGCTATGGATGGAAACGAATAGTGAGATTAAGCCATGACCTGCCACGCGGGCTCATTGGCGATTGGTGGGTATTTAAAACTGGGTGCAGCTGGAACCAATCGGCTTAACGTGCCTTTTGGAAGGAGGAGTTCGAGATAATAAATTTTGTTCACCCATCCTATGACCGGTCATTGCTTAAGTTGCTTAACAATAGTATCGCGCTAGCCACTGTGCCATCGAGCTCCTATCACCTGTCTATAATGTAACTATTCGTCATTATAACCAGGCGTTACTGCGCGAGTTGGAGCAGTATCAGAATGAGAAGCGTAAGGCGTTGATGAACCACGAGGCGAGTATGATGAAGACCGTCGAGGAACGGTACGCGGCCGAACTGAAGGAATGGCGCGCCACGCTCGGCGATAGGAAACAGGTGAGTCTTGCTGTCTCACTCACACACAAACACACTCACACTTACTCACTCACAAACACACACTCACTCTCATTCAAACACACAAACAGATACTTATTCGCTCACGCACATTTGCTAACTCCCAACGATACTAGATTTGTGAAAATTTATAGGAAACTGATGAAAAAGTGAGTGTTCATCTCGCATTTGTTTCACTCCCACATAACCATACACTCACTGATGCTCTAATTCAGTAATTATTAAAATGAATTTAGTAGAAAGTCTTTAGGGTTTCGGAATATTATTTATTTTTGTAACTGGTAATGCAATTATTGATAGACCACCAATTATTGATAGATAGATAGATGGGTTGTCACAGAGAAAGCAAGAAAGTACCGTAACGACATCTAGTTTGATTTCGAGTTTCTTATTTTTAATACTTCCTGATTGGAATTGTCTAATCCAAGAGATAAGGAGTAAATATCTTTGAATGCTATTGAGAAATATTAAACGAATTTCTATCCGCAATCTTTCAATCGTTACAGATGAGATTTTTATTATGTTTCTTGGTGTTTGAAATCGTCATACGTTCCAAAAGAGATGTCGTCTTTAAACGTTATATTATAGTATAAATCGCATAGCATAGCATAACATAACATAATAGCATTGTCCTGTCTTATTCTGGCATTTATATAAACTCAATATGGATGATGACCCCTTTTTTTGTGCGTAATAAATTGAGTTAAAATGTCACACGACGTTAAGCTCAGACGTAGCGAGCCCCCACTCCTCAACTTTAATAACACTTTAGGAGGGGGGGGGGGGTCGACGAACTGTGACATTAGAATAATAATTAGAACGAACAACGAAGAATTATAAATAAAAAAAATACGTATCTAATAACTTGCTATTATCCGACTGACGGACTAAATAGAATTTCTTTTTTTTTTACCCGGTCATCATCCCTATGACTAGCTAATCTTTACTACACCATATATAAACATACATTTCTTCCCTCACACACTCACTCTAACACTTCTATTACAAATAAATTTGTGTGTGAAGTAATTCTATATTGATGTTACACTGGAGAATGACTGGCATGTTGACTGCCTGACTAATGGTGAATGTGGCATGTGGCATGCGTAGCTGGGTGTTAATGGGTGGTGGTTACTTTTATCAATAGGACGGTCTTATCTATAATATATTTAACTAAAATCAAGATATGAATAGACTACTAATTAAAGTATAATCTTAGTCAATTAAATTTTATTAATTGGAATAGTTGTTTTGGCATAATTCTACACTCACTCGATCTTGTTGCTGTCTATACACAAAACTCTTAATTATCTGGGTTACGATCCTTACTCTCTAGCCACGGAATAAGACATCTTAGCGAATGTTATGGCCTAGCGAATATCGCTTTGTCATCGCTAAGATTTCGTATTCTATGTCTTGAATTTTAGTTAGAGGTGTTAAACAATCGTTGTGTTGGTTAGAAAATATATTGTAAAATTTATAAGCAAATACAACTAATATAGCTCTGAACCTGCGATGAAGGATTTTGTAATGCGGAATCCTAAAAACAAGTTAAAGTAAATTTATGGAATTGTAATAATTCTTCACGAACTGAACTGTAGCTATGAAGCAGTCCTTATGTTCGAATATTATACAGAAAAGATAAGACGTCCTATTGATTTTTTTTTCTATTATTAAAAACTCTTTTGAAACGCGCTTAAGATACAACGGTGCACTAAACATTGTAAATATGCCTCGACTATTGTATGTATGTTTGGTTTGTTTTTTTTACAAAGAAGAATGCGCTTGCTTTCTCTCTGAGGTCCTGAAGCGAGTCAGTAATTTTCATTTAACGTTGATGATTCCGTAACAATTATCAGATTTTGATAATATGTAAAGCTATAGGTATAACATTAGGATACCATGGCAATAACTCCAGTAGCGTCGCCAATTAAAATAATTTTATTATATTAAAGCGTACCCCTAACCCTGGCTTAACATTGCCGGCCAGAACATTGCTAGTTGCTATTTCTGTCTTCATACTAATTTTATCTAGCAATTCTATCTAGCATCCAGTTTGGAGACTGGTTTTAGCGGTCCACGGTCGCCATAGTTTTTCGTATACGTTGTTTACTTTGCTGCCATGGTTTCCAATAATGATAGCCGTTCCAAATCGTCTAAACGTTCATACTAGCGAAAATAATACCGCAGCTCGATGATTTTATTGAATAGATATCAAACGCGCGATGCTCTACCTCAGCCTTTCCTAAAGTGGGCGATAGCGCCCCCTTGTGGGCGCTGCGGGCTTAAATGTGGTGGTAAGATGCCCAAAAAAATTAATGGGGGCGTTGTGTAGAGACTTCAGAAGAGTTAACAAAAGACTTGTGTTCTACCTACTGCGCTGAGGTCTCGAGTTAACTCTTGTGGGTTATGAAGCTCACAATAATATATTTAATTTTAAATTACACTGGTTTTAATTAGGTGAAAAAACGGGGGCGAGATAAATAATTTATTCCCAATGTGGGCGGTAAACGAAATAAGTTTGAGAACCTCTGCTCTAACTCACATATGTCGTCCCTCGCGTTATCTCGGTCATGCGACGACTCTTCCCGTCACCTATTATAAAACTCGAAAAATATGTTTAGCTGTGTTTGCATGATAGTATAATTTATTTATGTTTTTTCTTATTTCGTTTCCATTAGGACACTCAGATTTGCTAGTTAATTTCTTGTCGCGCGATCGTTACAAATGGGAGTTAATCTGAACAGTTAATGGCGCTAATTAGTTTGGGGGCTTATTACATGACTAGGGTATGCCATATTGGTTTGATTTAAAATATTCAGCTATCGAATATCTTCATACAAACTATTCTAATACTCGAATGCTTATATTTTTCTGATTTTTATGAATGACGAATATTCAACAAACATTTTAAAATATTCTCAATGAAAATTGCTTAAAAAATCCACTTTGTCCCCGCCACTCTGAGATGGGACTCGGACCCATGACCTTATGCAACCCGGGCGACTGCTCTAACCACTGAGCTACCCACAACCTAACAGGACTGGTTAATCTTTCAAGAGATTACTTTTTCGCTACTGCAGAGCATATTCTCACCAATGTTCAGACAATCCACCCAAACAGCCGAAAGTAATATTTTTACAAATATTTAAACTATTTGATCAGTTATTATATATAATCTCAGAGTGCTTGGGACAAAGTGGATTTTTAAACATTTTTCATTAAAAATATACTTCTTTATAGCATTGTGAACGCAAAATTGATTTTAGAAGTTTCGCACGGCTCTTTTCTGAAGTATTAAACTTTTGTTATAAAATTTTTCTCATAATACGATTTACAGTGCGAATTATATCCGATTGTTGAAATTTGTCAAGACGAATATTAGATACACTAGTTATGTCACAGTGACAGCTATCTAAGTAGTGCATTTACATTAAGTTTATTAGGAATTGTCTGAATCTATGACAGTGATTAATTCTACTGGTATTTTCCAAACACTGACGATTCTCGACCTTAAAAGGGTGGCGATGTTGTAAACCTATGGGAGCTTGATTCATACAATAAATAATCGTGCCAGGACCTCAGATCAGAACTCTGTGTTATTGGTGTTTCATTTCCCTGACCGGATTTTTTGGCCACTTTTTTTCACATTAGACTGACATAATATTTGTTGATCAGATGTAGGTGAATATGTAAAAATCTGAAATTACCGGAATAACATTTACATATAAATATATATAGGAAAAAAAAAACAATACTATATGTATGTGTAAAAACCAAAATTCGTTTCACTGAATTAAGCTACTTAAATAACTCGGGGAAGTATCAAAAATTTTGTTATCGAAATCAAATATTTATCCGATGGCTCTAAGTTCAATTTTGATGGGTTTTTTCAGCAGCTTTCTGTTTACCAAGTATGTTTGTTACCATGAAAACAAGACTTTAGGCGTTGTGTTGTCTTGAACGCGTTTCAATTGTGTCTGTGTGTGTTGTGCCGTCCCGTTGCGACTCGTCGCACTAACACGAGCCTCTCCCGACAGAGACTGATAGAAACCTTCAAGAAACATCTGGACGACCACGAGAAGAAGTTCGGTACGCCAATAGAGGACAGGAGCCTGTATCTCGACGCTCCGTGGCCCAAGAACGTGTTACAGCACGTTTTGAGCGCTTACCATCAACGCAATTCCTTCATGGGCTCCCTGTCTAGATCTAGGACGAGTCTCAACTTCTTGTCCGCCGCCAATACACCGAATATGGACAGGAGACGAAGCATCAGCCCCAGATCGGACAGAGGCACGAAGTCGGCAGCAACTAGCGCCCACAACACTGCGAAACGCAGCGGGAAATCCTCGAAATTACACAAATACGGATCAACTTCCAATTTGAAACTGGTTTCGGAGAAAATATCCGGGTTCTCAGTATTCAATGGCTCGGAGGATCTCAAGAGGGATCCGATTATGGCGTACGGAGACGTACCCAAAGAGAACGCAGAAGAACCGAGAAAGAGTTTAGAGAGGAAGAAGCCGGTGGAAAAGATAGCGAGTGCCAATCGAGTATTGAATAGACAGAGTCTGTCTGGTCCTCTGTTTAGAGAAATGAACGAAGTGGAACCACAGATGAGGAGGAGTGTATCACATGCTAATCTGAACGAAGACATTATAATGGAAGCGGTCATGATAGACCTACCGTCTTTGGAAGCCGACAAGTATGGCACGGTGAAGAGTAACAGTACGTTTGGTACTTTGTCGCGGGACGGCAGCGAACCCGATGATGATACGAAGAGTTTTAGCCGTTGGGGGCCTATCAGGGGGTCGAACAGTTACGCGGCCGGTCACGGTGTCCCCGTCAGTCAGTTGTCCACTTTGGATTTGAAAACTACTATTGTGGTCGACAAGGGGGATAATAAACCTAGTGATTCGGCCGCTTGAATCATTCGTTGTCTTAAATAAATTAACGGGTCCCATGAACTTATGTTTATCTGCACTTTTTGCTAAGGCACGACGTGGAGATGATTATAGCATATAATTTTTAGGTATTACAGAGGAAAAGGTGGATATTTTTAATCAACGGGACTACCGCCAGACTACACTTTCATAGAATTCTTTAACATCGGATTTTATTAAAATGATAACATTTGAAAATAAATTTCATTATTTTAAATTGTATTCTTCAATACTGTATTGTTAGAGATACAGTGTATACGTACATTTAATACAGTATTGATTGATTGAATCTAGACTAGGCTAGTCGCTGGAGTTAGGGAGATGTCTTACCCGTTTCTAAAATACCCAGTTCATGCATAAAGTTATTTAATAATCACATTATCTGCTTTGGCTGAAATTGGAGGTGATCGAGCTAGATGAGATATAATAGCCCCTCACTACATCCCTGCAGGGAGATTCTGTAAAAAGATAAACTCGAATTCGATTTCACTCATGTGTCCAAATTCACTACGTTTGGTAAAGAACTTCTATAAATTCCAATTTTTGTATAAAAATACAAAACAAAATTGATTGATTGTACGTTTCTTAGATATTTTATTATATCGATGCTCGCTTGACATCAGCCACGAAACGTTATAACTAATTCAAGATTGAGTGGATGCCGCTTTTTAAACACAATTCGGACACTTAAGTGAATTCGAATTCGGGCTTGGATTTTTACGGAATCGTAGGGTATAACCGAAGTATTGTCGAAACATTATATATACGTGACACAAAAATTACATATTGTAGTAACTCATTCGTGTCCAAGTACAAAATTATAGATAAACATAAGTTTATTTCTTAATCATTTCGAAACGTGCTACGTTCGTCATGGTTTGTCTAAAAAACAACCTAATAGCCGTTACACTAAAGGTTGTTTTCGATTATTACTTAATGTGAAACATGATAAATACAACTTAAATATTTTCGACTCTTATAATATTAAAATTAAAATTAAGACCCTTATATGCCTTTGATGCTTAATATTATTATAATGTTAATATAATTTAGTTTTTAAATTCGCCCTTATACTTGTATTAGGCTTATATTAAAAAATATTACAATGAACATTTTCGAACTAATTTGTCGAACAGGTGTATTTACTTAAGAAGCAATAAATTCCTTCCCTATAGTGGTGCTTTAAATTGTATGGACACGGTTTTACATTTATTTTGTATTGTTATTGCCATCAGATAAGGTCTAATATTGTATAAGAAGAATTCAGGGCTTTCAATTGAGTAAAACTGCCTTCCAACATTTTGAATTGTATATATTTCTTTATTTTTTTTTTTAGAAAATATGCGTTTACTCGACTGTAAAATCAGATATACAAATGTTATAATGATAATTGTTCAGTATTCATAAAATATTGCCAAAGAGTTAATTTGAAACCATTATATTGTACTCGTATAATAGTAGCTGCACACGATCGGCATTTTATAGATTTTTAAATTAGAATTTAATGGTTATCCTCGTTGCTTGAAGTAATATTTATTGATATATATACGTCTAATAATATACCTTTTATAAATATCTAAGACAGTCGTCTGATTAGCAACGAGAAGATAACTAACCATCGATTATTTTCATAATAGTATTGTGTATGTAGAATTGACCAAATAAAATATTTTTTTTTTTACTTAAAATCTTTTAGAAAACTTTTAGTGTATTTTTTAACGAGCTTATAATTGAATTACTTGTTTCTCTTTCACAAAATGCTCGATCAATAGGGATGAGGACTGGATAAAAAAATTTATTTAGTCCGTCAGTCTATTATCTAGAAAAATATTAACAAGAAATAGCTTAGATAAAAGTTAAGGAGTGGGGGCTCGCTACTTTACAATTTTGCAGAAAATGTACAAAAGCTTGACTTCATGCGACATTTTAACTCTACATTTAATCGCCTTAATTTAATGATTACGAAAATATACGTATTTAATATTTTTCAACAATCTACCTGACGGACAAACAAATACTAGTCGTCATTCCTATTATGTTGAAATCGCACTTGGAAGAGGCAAATTGAGAAAAAACTCACGTGATTACCTGATCGTTGATTGTCCAAGTTGGAACTGTCTCTCTCTTCATGTCTCTTACTTATTTCACAATATACCAACGAAAGTGGTGTGAGTAATCAGCATTTGCAATAGCACATTTCTTTTAATGAGATCCGCGCGCTTGTAGACCAGCGTACCAACAGCCAACAGCTTACACGGTGGTTGTGAACCGATGTCAACATTGATCACAGCTCTGGTGCTGATGTCTCGACAGAGTTTTCGATCGCGATCTTATCGAATCCGGTCGCTAACTCATTGCGGTCGTAGTTGACAATTATTGCAAGTCTCTACAGCTAAATGTTTTGCTATTTGTTAGGTACGTACCGAGTGCGACTGTCAAATCAACGATATTCGTTAGTTTCCTAGCGATCGAGTGTGGCAGTTCGGTGAGTGAACTCTGCGATCGCTACTTAACGATCGCAAACTCCGTCGAGACTGCAGTGCAGCCCCTGGTTTGCGACCGTTTGGATCGTACTTTGTAGTCTATCAACAGAACTTTCGTTATTACATATTAGATAACTCATCAACTTCGGCGTTCGGACAACTGTCTAAAAGATGTTAAAATTGTATTAGAGTACATTTTACATCGGAGAGTGATTATTATAAATTGTGATCCTAAATTACAATAATGCATCATTATTATATAAACGCTTTTAAGGATTAATGTCACAAAAAAATCTTCCTTTAATATGCCAAAAAATTTACGCTTCGCTTCCCATACAGTATTATTAATAAAATAAAATATTAATAAAAAAAAGAATAAACCAATTCACGGAGAGAATACTTGTAATTATTATAAGTCATCTGCGCATGCGCGTTTATATTTAAATCATGTTGTCAATTAAAATTTAAATAAAGCGTGTATATACTAAATAATTGCGGTAGAAATAATAGAACATTCAAAAGCAATATTTCGTGGTTTGGTTCTTCTTGATTCCATGTATACTATAAGTACATATTTATAGATTGATTGTTTGAAAGAGCCTTGTATGAGTGCGAGGATATTCTATAGGACAACCATTACCTAATAATATTCAAAGATTTTTCAAAATTACATTTTTCTAGTAATTCATATAAGTTTTAAAGACTCGTCGCTATATTATAATATAAAACCGAAAAATTTAAATAACTATTATATATAGTTCACTGCTGATAATAATACTATATGGTATAGTATTTTTCAAGTTAGATTACTTAAAACTAAATTAAATTTAAAGTAAGAGTTTACTATGTACGGTCGACGTTGTGTCAGGTTAGTACCAAAGGCTATAAATCTCTTCAATCAATTTTAAGTCTTCATAAATTTATAGGAAAGTCTATAATTGACTGCAGACGTTTACCCTTTACACTAACCTAATATATGTACTTGTTATAAGACTAATTTTTAGGAAAATGTAAGCTATTCCAGAGAATCGCTAAGCTAAACTATTCACATAAGTTATATAAGTGTAACAATAGAGCGAAATGCAAACATACATTAGAATGATAAAATGTGTAACGGTTATATTGTCGTTTCATTCTCTCGTATGCTTGCGTCTCGCTTCAGCATCGTTTACTCACCCGTAGGTATTATGATGTAGATAGTATATATTCGATGTGCCTAAACGAAAAGCCTTATATGTTACAGATATTATATATTTGAATTGTTGAAGTTTTGATATTTTAAATTTTATTTTAGCGTTGTTCAGTTGTAACTCTCGAATAATTATTGCAAAAAAATTTGCTAGCTTTCCGCCAGTGGCTTAGCTCGCGTGGTCCTATTTTCATACTTCTTAGTCCAGAAATTTGAAAATTTCGTATAAATGACCACCCCTCTAGGGGTTGAATGTCAAAAAAGTCTCTTAGTGCCCATTTACATCATTAAAGGAACCCGTGTACCGAATTTCAAGTTTCTAGGTACAGTAGTTTTGGCTGTACGTTGGTACATAAAACAATTTAGTTTTGCCTTTTATATATTCCCCAGGGGACTGTTTATTTGAATATCGATTTATATCATGACACAGATATAATTACAATGACAAATTAAATATTAACAATGGTTACTATGGTAACGTTTTAATTCCCTATACAAACTTCCACCGTAATACAAACATATGATGTAGCTTCCCGTAGGTGAAAGAATTCAATACGAACTTGCATATATGTCGACTTGTGACGTCAGTAACTAGTGTATCGTAAGCGTCCCGACATGACCTTTTGAAATTCGCTTTTCTATTTCAAAACAGTGGTGACCATAGTTGTTTTGGCTGGCTGCTATTTTGAAAAAGATAATAAAATGGCGGATGGTAGAACAGTCATGCTCAATGCTAAAATCTACCCAATTCAGATATGATGTTAAAATGAGTATTCTTCTGGACTTTAATCGCTGTGATAATTACACGAGAGTTGCCACTGAGCCAAGAAATTAGTTGAATATGGCATAATAAACTATGTGTTGATTAGTATATAAGGGTATATTTAAAGTTTACAAGAAAATTAGCGCTTAAGCAATTTTAAAAACATTCCTTAGTTTTTAAGTTCTGGGACACAGCATATATTTCTAAAATGTTTTCTTTTGTTAGTGATTGTTCTAAAGTAGACGTCATAGATAGCGTCACTAGTGGGTGTTGTCGTATTGTTTCAAAATACCCTCGACTGCGGCTGCTGAAAAAGAAAACACTGAAAACGTCGCAATTATTTTAACTTTTGCCGCTTTTAATACTTAAAGTTGATAATTTTTGTTTACATTACATATTCAGTGTATTGAACCATCTTATCATCAGTTGAGACATTTTTTTTTATTATGGTCTGTATTAACATAACCAACTGAATGTTCCAAAATAAAACATTTACTAGTCCCAGTTTCTGAAGGTCTGAACTACCCTAGTACAATCGAAGAGATATGAGAGTTCAAAAACAGAATTTCCCTCGAAAATGTACCTTAACAACTTAAGATAAGGTATTAAAACTATTGTAGTGTAAAATCTTTTGTGGTGTT